TGATAGGATCATAACCATTAGTTTTGGAGGACTCCATTTGATGAAATTGTCCCTAGTGTGCCCCATCCCTGACAAGGTCACAGCATCTTTGTAGTATTTCCCAATTATAACTTATCAGTATATTTCAAAAATTTTAAAATAAACTTTGTGTGTTTGACTCTTTGGTTCTGATTTAGCATCTTGACCCCTGTGAACTAATTTACACTATAAAAGGCTGCTATGTATAAATTAGGCATCATACACAGTTTTCATCCAGTATGTTGTAAGGCAGAGGAAAGTCCTTTGTGTAATAGCAAACCTACATCTGTGTCATAGACATTGAAAGAAGAATAAGTGAAGTTTGATCTCATTGCAAGATTAGTAGAAAACAGCTACTGATGTTTCTTTCATCTCTCAGTTCAGAGCTTCAAATTCACATAGATACACTGCCAAATTGAGACCAACTGTCAAAAGTAAAAACTCAAATTACTTGAGTGGAGATGAAAACCACATTTAACATCAAGCTGAATGTAATCCCTAATGTATTACTATTACACATCGAAAAATAAGTTTAAAAAAGTCAAATGTGTGAAATTCATACATATTTATAGCAAGCACATATTTTCTTCATAAATGTATGCAAAGTGGAAAAAACATTTAAATGCAGAAATGTTAATAGAGTGTCATCAGCAGAAAAATGTACCCACATACCTGTAATTATTGGAAACTTTCAATCTACTAAAATTTCTGCAGTATTCTGGAAATGATTAATAAATATGGAAATATCTCAAAGCAATGACATTTACTACTGTAGAGCAAAAAATAGTGTGGAACAGTATTATGAAATGGCCAATATATCAAAAAGTTACACACCTGGTAGGAAAACTAAAAGGTAAACTTACCTTTTATAAAGAAGTATAGCAATAACAATACAGATGATAAACACCACTGCAAGAACTGGGCCAACAACCCATATCAGGCCTTCTTCCTCATCTGTAATTGGTTGGGGATCAAGATCCATGGACACAACAGGATCAGAATATGGACTGGTTGCATACATGGTCTATACAAATAAAATTAATCTTAATTAATGATAAAGCAGTGAATTTAAAATATTATCTATCCTGGATCTGAAATTAATCTATACAAGCTAAAAAAGCCATGAACATAGCAATGTAAAAATGACAAGTCCCTGCAAGGAAGTTGGACTAGATGACCTTTAAAGGTTTCTTTCAACTGAAACCATTCCATGACTCTGATTCAGAGTGCTGAAGTTGACTGTATTCAAAAGATTCAAGGTTAGGTTTCTGTCTTCTGAACTAAATCAAGAAGCTGCACTTTGTAATAGCAAATTACACAACGTCTGTCATGATAATTTGCCTACAAACAGAAACCCACTCTACAAACAAACCTTACTCTAGAACGATCTAGAATGATGAGCATTATCAGCAAAAGAGCGAAATTAGAGAACTTGTGATTTCTTAAAAACCAGGAGCAATAGCCACATAAACTCATATGTTGGGGAACAAAAAAAACCAAAAACCAACCAAACAAAAAGGATGAAAAGATGCTTCATAGGGACATGCAGTCTCTTTCTAGTTATTCAGTTTCTGATATACACCAAACAATTTCTAGAGCTTTTTAACATTCACTGGGTTCCAAACTCAGTTCCTAACCATCTAAATCCCATGTAATTGAACAAGTATCACACATTCAAAAGCAAGTTGAAAGGATTTACTGTAGATTTGCCTAAGCTGTTGGTTGCAACAAATTGCAAAAAACAAAGTGCTTTACCAAATCCACCTTGAGATATAAATTGTGACTCAAACAGCACTCATAATGGTCTCTAGGGGGGACTTAGCCTGCACCATCTCTTTGCCTTTGTTTGAGATTTTGGATACAAATTTTACTATGCTGAATATTTTGCTCCGTCTTTGAATCAGCAAAAAAATTATTTTCTTGAGGACAAGAATATGACCGCCCAAAAAGTGCTGTTTAGTTAATTTACTCGGATCCCTAAATTTGATTTTTTAGATTTAAGTCCAACAGAATAAAGATCTACTCCAAAATAATTCTCTCTTTTCAGTATGACTGCAGGGTGGGGTAAGTGCTGAAATGACAGAGAACACTGAACTGGTCACTGGCCAAGTCAGTTCTTTTTGCCAAGATGTCACCTCTAGAAAGACAGGAAATTCAACCGTAATTCAGGAAAAAACATTTTTCCTGTGAGGACAGGTGAACACTGGAACGGCTTGCCCAGAGAGGTTGTGGTATTTCCATTCTTGGATATAATGAAACTTGCTGGTACATACCTCTGAGCAACCTGCTGTAGCTGGCCATGCTCTGAGCAATGCTGAGACAGAAATGTGACCTTTGATTCTGGGAATCTGTGAGCTCTTCTGCACACGGTGTATTAATCAGCCTCAATTGTGTTGGATATAATATTGCAGATATATCCAATGACAACAATAGTTACTCTTCAGTATTTTCACCATTTTTCACTGCTAAGTACTAAGCTCCAATGACTGTTTCGGTGTATTCTAATACGACCTCAAAATGTTTCTATGCAGTATCTTTGCTTTCAGATTTTAAGAAGGGTAAATGCAGAGGCAATAACCTTTATACAGACAGACCAACAAATAATAATGGGGTCAAATATGCACTCCTAGTCTTTTTGACAGTTAAATATGCTTCACACCACCCATGCAACTTAGTCACACTATCTGTGATAGCTTCTGTTTTAAAGGAGAGCAAGAGTTCTCCCCTTAAAATTATTCATTTAGAAACTGCAGTTATCCTTTCTCTATGATTGAAATTTAAATGTAGAAATAGTATGGTAAATCATTAAATTAGTGGGCCAAGTCAGCTCATAAAGGCTTTTATGGACAAAGGGAATTTAGCATAGTTGACCATTATTTGAGTTTCTACTCTTTGCATTTCAAAAGACATGGTAATTTCCAAGTTGTCTTCTTCCCATTCCACATCCTTCAACATCATCTTCCTCTTTTTAACATTTTTCATATGTGCTTTCTTGTATTAGGCAGATGTTCTCTATCCTTTGTTTTGCTCTCTCCCTATCCCAATTTTTGCACTTATGTCCCAATATATTCTAGAAATACACTTGTTACATTTCCTGTATCCACTAAAATTTCTTATTTTCCTGCTTTTTATTACATGTTTTTACCATGTCCAATTCCTGTAGCCGCAGTAATTCCCTTTAACAGAGTTAACTCATAAATTAAAATTCACTGTTTTCTCAAAGCATTGTGCTAAATACCCATACCGTCTTGTCTAGTTATTGCTGTTCTACAAACAGTACAGATATCATACTCTAGCTGTTAGCTTTCATCCACGTTGCAAACTGTAGAAAACAAATATCCAATTATATATTACTTTTTTTTAAGAAATGAAAAGTTCACAGAGGAACTTAGACTAGTAAAACTGCAGTCATAATTTCTCAGAGGTAATTTGCAAAATCAGTGCAGTTTAACAATTTATAGCTTACAAATAGAAAATAGAAAAATAAATACATATGGACATTTACCTGAACAGTTCTAGTACCAGTAGTAAATAACAGATGGAAAATGTGTCCCCCATTTTTAATGAATGACAATCTCGTCACACTACTGATGAACAAATTTTACCTGCTCATTTGTGGAATATGCCTGTAATTTTTTTTTGGTAATAGAACTGAAGATTGTAATTATGGTTCCATAAATGTAATCAATATTTCCAGAAGCAGTTACACATCTGCTTTATATGACATTGTTTGGATTTGTTTTGTAGTATGGGAGAAGTTTTGCTTTTAATACTCAAAAATAAGCAGAAGAAAGAAGTATTTCACTTTTAGCACATCTCTAATGACCAGTTTTTGAAGTGACAGGCAGACACAAACAGAGGCTCACTGGCTGCTAATCAATTAGATTGGCTGAGACAGTAGGCACTAATGGAAACCTTCAGGAGACCTAATATCTGCAAGCAATAGACCCTGTATTATGCTGCTGTAGGATTACAGCCCTAAAGAACATTTATAAATGTGTATCTATTTGGAATCCAAAGCTAAGCTTTATCCTGGACTGTTTTTTTACTACTGAACAGAGAATTCTCTTTCCAAGCAGAATTTAAACATCTATATGCAGGTGATAGGATCATAACCATTAGTTTTGGAGGACTCCATTTGATGAAATTGTCCCTAGTGTGCCCCATCCCTGACAAGGTCACAGCATCTTTGTAGTATTTCCCAATTATAACTTATCAGTATATTTCAAAAATTTTAAAATAAACTTTGTGTGTTTGACTCTTTGGTTCTGATTTAGCATCTTGACCCCTGTGAACTAATTTACACTATAAAAGGCTGCTATGTATAAATTAGGCATCATACACAGTTTTCATCCAGTATGTTGTAAGGCAGAGGAAAGTCCTTTGTGTAATAGCAAACCTACATCTGTGTCATAGACATTGAAAGAAGAATAAGTGAAGTTTGATCTCATTGCAAGATTAGTAGAAAACAGCTACTGATGTTTCTTTCATCTCTCAGTTCAGAGCTTCAAATTCACATAGATACACTGCCAAATTGAGACCAACTGTCAAAAGTAAAAACTCAAATTACTTGAGTGGAGATGAAAACCACATTTAACATCAAGCTGAATGTAATCCCTAATGTATTACTATTACACATCGAAAAATAAGTTTAAAAAAGTCAAATGTGTGAAATTCATACATATTTATAGCAAGCACATATTTTCTTCATAAATGTATGCAAAGTGGAAAAAACATTTAAATGCAGAAATGTTAATAGAGTGTCATCAGCAGAAAAATGTACCCACATACCTGTAATTATTGGAAACTTTCAATCTACTAAAATTTCTGCAGTATTCTGGAAATGATTAATAAATATGGAAATATCTCAAAGCAATGACATTTACTACTGTAGAGCAAAAAATAGTGTGGAACAGTATTATGAAATGGCCAATATATCAAAAAGTTACACACCTGGTAGGAAAACTAAAAGGTAAACTTACCTTTTATAAAGAAGTATAGCAATAACAATACAGATGATAAACACCACTGCAAGAACTGGGCCAACAACCCATATCAGGCCTTCTTCCTCATCTGTAATTGGTTGGGGATCAAGATCCATGGACACAACAGGATCAGAATATGGACTGGTTGCATACATGGTCTATACAAATAAAATTAATCTTAATTAATGATAAAGCAGTGAATTTAAAATATTATCTATCCTGGATCTGAAATTAATCTATACAAGCTAAAAAAGCCATGAACATAGCAATGTAAAAATGACAATTTTCTTCAAGTCAGCCAGTATATAAACTTGCAAACTGAAAAGTATGTTGTTATTACCATCTTTATTTTGCACTCCACATATTAGCAGTGATCTGAAGTCAAATAAGGTAACTCAATCCTTCACAGAACACTTTGCAATTTACACAGAGAATGAGAAAACATAATATTAGGGAATTGAGGAAAAAAACCCATCGGTTACTCATCTTTGGGTTTTGTTTTAGTTTCATATTGGCTTAACACTATTTCTTCCTGCAAGATATGAAAGGATAGTTCTGAAAAAATGAGAGTAGTATAGGTAAAAATAAAGGGGACTGAATGTAAGAGGTTCCTGGAAAAGGGCCCTATGGAAATAGTAGGGTGTATTTTGATCAGTCAAAAAATGTCAGAATGTTCTTACAGAATATGGAGACAACTTGGTTTTGAGTCTGAAAAACAGGGGAAGCCACTGTAGCATATGAAGGCCAGCTAAATACTCAAAGTTCTTTCTGAGGAATGGATCTAGAATCATGAGCCAGCAGAGGCCACCACAAATCTTTGCCTTATTGGATGGTGTAAAGCCAGGTGGCCTAGGGTAATACCTGTGATTAAAAAACAGTAACTTCCTTTTTCATTCTGGTCTGACCCGAGATGTCTGATCTATGGCTGAGTGCAAAGTTAAAATTACAGACAGGAGAGTCTGAGGAGCCAGCCTGCTGAAATTGGATCATGTAAAGAACTCTTATTTACACTAAAGTCAGAAGTGAAGAATGGTTTTCACTTATTTCTTGTCTTTGCTGGAGTGTCTCCACCAGCACTAAACTAGGACTTAAAAACTTGATTCAGCAGTAGGTCAGGAATGCCAGGTAAGATATAATAAGACAACGAGGAAAACAGATTAGTTTTCATTTACCATGTTTGCACTATGTTCTGAAAGATGCCTGAAGCCAGGACAAGTGTTAGCAAAGGAGACATGGGGTTTTTACCCTTCATTTGGCCTTGTTTTGGGCTCTGGGCTATGACAGTTTCTAGGCTTAAGGTTAGAGAAAGGATGAGGACAGGCAAAGCTGAGGCACTTAAACTAGCTGATACTGAGCTAGTACCCGCGCCAACAATGTTCAGTTATGTTATGTTCTCTTCTGTTACTAAACCTGGTTACTAAACTGCGGGTTTTTTCCAGCTTCAGCTTTCTCAAAAGATTGAAAAAAGTCCATTGCTACTGTAAAAAAAAAAAAAAAAAATCTTTGTATTTAGCCTCTTCCTTTAGAGCAGGCAGAAAAAAATGCCTGGAAAGAGATACAGAGCAATAACATTATGAGTACTTACTACCTGTTCTCCAATAAATAGGGTTTTGCTTTTCGTTTTCAACCTACCTGTATTAATGACTAATTTATACTCATGTATTATTTTGCCAAAATTATCTATTTTTTTTGTTCTTTCTCTTGATAAGATGTTTATCATATATATAAACTGTAATCACAAGTTCTTTCAGTTTCCATTTTACAAATTCAGATCTGCCCATGCTCTCTTGTAAAGCAAGTTCTCTATTCTCCCAGTCAACAGAGAAATGCTGTGTTCTCTAAAGGAGAAACTTTATGTAAAAAGTATTTTGAATATTGGGAAAAAGATCCCTCACAAGTTAGAACTCATACCCAGTAGGATCTATAGTCTTAGAAGAAAATCAGCTATATTGAGAGCAGATACACTGGAGCACTGGAACTTGAAGCTCACTCACACTTACAAACTCTTTCCTCTCATGCTTCTTAATCACGTAGTTGTTTCAGGTGGCATTCTAAATTTGATATTGTCCATACTGTAAGTTTCGTAATGCCTTTTGAAATATTCAACAGTAGGCCCCCAGACATATTTTGCCATACCAGCCTTTTCAGCTATAAACTTGCAACCCTATTTATTCCTGCTTTTTCATCCTAAGTTCTCTCTAACAAAGTAACAACCTGAGGGTTATAGAAAATGACCAATGATTTAATTAATGTAGAAAAATAAATAACAAATGGTACTTCACATTGAAAAGATAAACTTTAGTACAGGTAGTTCCTGACAGATTTTTGGCCATCTAATCTTATAGCCAAAAGCTCTCTAGTTTCTCCAGTTTGAACCTTTCTGATGCAGCACCTTCAGAATTGTCTGTCTGCACAGCCTCTGTTAAAAAGTGAGAGGGGAATTTGTGATTTCTGTTAGAGCTTCCATGAGGCACTTAATTTATTTTCAAATGAAATTACATATCCAAAAATATTCAAATTGAAACTACTTCCTCATTGTATTTAAGTAGGCAAATTCTGTTCACATCAAGAAAGCAAATGTAAGGTTACACACCAGAAGGATTTGACTAGAAATTTAGATTATTGGTGTAGTAGTTTCAAGTGGTTGAGCCAGCAAATGTACCTGTCAGGCTTAGGTACCAATTAGAAAGATACCACATTGCACACTATGTTAAAATGTTAATGTGTATTGCAACTTTCAACAGTCCTATTTCTGTCTTTTACTTCTTCTCTTTATTTTTTTTTTTTTTTTTACTATAGTACATGCAGTGGATTAACTCAAGCATAAAGGGATATAACTAGAAGATGAATTATATAAGGAGGAATGACAGCTCATTATTTCGCTCATGTTAGGAATTTTCTGTATTATTGAATTATTTTCTAACTTTCTAACAATTCACTGATAAAGTTGTTAGGGAATGACTGTAACTAAAGAGGCTAGCTGTGCACATCTCTGATGCAATCAATCTTTCTAAGAATCCTGCAAGTCCAATGCCACTATTTTTTTTTTTTTTTTTACTATAGTACATGCAGTGGATTAACTCAAGCATAAAGGGATATAACTAGAAGATGAATTATATAAGGAGGAATGACAGCTCATTATTTCGCTCATGTTAGGAATTTTCTGTATTATTGAATTATTTTCTAACTTTCTAACAATTCACTGATAAAGTTGTTAGGGAATGACTGTAACTAAAGAGGCTAGCTGTGCACATCTCTGATGCAATCAATCTTTCTAAGAATCCTGCAAGTCCAATGCCACTATTCAATGGTAATGCTGAGGCAAGAGAGGAACTCTTTTTCAAATACATTGAGAAAGATGTTGCTGTGAGGTTAATGCCTCAGAGCCTGTATCAACGATCTCAAATAGCAGAGCATTTAATTTGCAAAGGATCACAACACAGTAATAAAATCATCTTTAAATTTCAGTTACACAAAAAAGTAGCACACAATAATACATGCAAAATAGAAAAGTTCAAGGAATTAATTGGAACTAAGCAAAGCAACACTCACTTTAGAGATGTTCTGACATACATTGTAAATAAATAGCTTTTAAGAAGTGGAATAAGCATTGAAAAAATGTTTTCATGACTGTGGACAGGTAATGTTTGGATTGAAAAACATGACTAACTTACAGATTCTGAGTGCTCCATTACAGCCAACACAAAAAAGACATATTCTTGACCACTCTGCAGCTGCTTATTCTCAAAGCCACCATAATGCTTCTTATCCCCCAACGTGAACTCTGTCGGAAGAACTTCGAAGTGAGCTGCAATATATGGCTTTAATTCAACTTCTCTCCCAAGACGAATGCTTCTGCGTTTCCTAGCTATCTCCTTAAGCAGCTTTATAATGAAGGAAGGGGAAGAGAGAGAGAGACAGAGAAAGCAAGAACAGAAAGATAACTGTAAACAATTGTAATGTAACTTATTGACAATGTAATGAGAAAATTTAATGCATGACCAGGAACTACAATTTAACCACATTTCATAGGGCCCATCAGCATCACTAAATTAGTTCTTTCAAAATCTTCCAATTTACAGAATCACACAGAATCATAGAATCACCATGGTTGGAAGGGACCTCTGAGATCATCAAGTCCAACCTCAAAACAAACAAACAAACAAACAAAAAAACCCCAAACCACCACACCAACAACAAAACAAAAAACACACCATCCCACCACATCACACCCACCCACAAACCAATAATCTCAGGCACTAGAGCATGCCCTGAAGAGCCACGTCTACACGTTTCTTAAATACCTCCAGGGAAGGTGACTCCACCACCACCCTGGGCAGGCTGTTCCAGTGCCTGACCACCCTCTCAGTAAAGTAATTCTTCCTAATATCTAATCTAAACCTCCCCTGCCGCAACTTTAGACCATTTCCTCCCTGTCATTATTCCCCTGGGAGAAGAGGCCAACACTCACCTCTCTACAACCTCCTTTCAGGTAGTTGTAGAGAGCAATGAGGTCTCCCCTCAGCCTCCTCTTCTCCAAACTAAACATACCCAGTTCCCTCAGCCTGTCCCTGTAGGACCTGTTCTCCAGACCCCTCACCAGCTTGGTGGCTCTCCTCTGGACACTCTCCAGCACCTCAATGTCCGTCCTGTAGTGAGGGGCCCAGAGCAGAACACCGTACTCAAGGTGAGGCCTCACCAGTGCTGAGTACAGAGGCATCATGACTTCCCTACTCCTGCTGGCCACACTATTCCTGATACAGGCCAGGATGCCGTTGGCCTTCTTGGCCACCTGGGCACACTGCTGGCTCATGTTAAGCCGGCTGTCCACCAACACTCCTAGGTCTTTTTCTGCTGGGCAGCTCTCCAGCCACTCTTTCCCGAGCCTGTAGCGTTGCCTGGGGTTGTTGTGACTGAAATGCAGAACCCGGCACTTGGCCTTATTGAACCTCATCTCATTGGCCTTGGCCCATTGATCCAGTCTGTCCAGCTCCCTCTGTAGAGCCTTCCTATCCTCAAGCAGATCAACACTCCCACCTAGTTTGGTGTCATCTGCAAACTTACCGAGGGTGCACTCAATCCCCTTATCTAGATCATCAATAAAGATATTAAACAAGACTGGCTTCAAAACTGAGCCCTGAGGGACACCACTGGTGACTGGTCGCCAACCGTATTTCGCCCCATTAATCACAACTCTCTGGGCACGGCCATCCAGACAGTTTTTTACCCAGTGAAGGGTACACTTGTCTATGCCATGATTCGCCAGCTTCTCCAGGAGAATGCTGTGGGGGACGGTGTCAAAGGCCTTACCAAAGTCCAGGTAGACAACGTCCACAGCTTTCCCCTCATCGAGGGGATTTATTGTCATCCTTAAGATACTATGTAGCAATTGCACTGCCCAGACTATTAACATAAAACAGTTAGATAAGTTTTCAGTTGTCTGATATTGCTGTCTCTCGGAGATGGGGGTGAAGGGGAGGGAAGCTAATAAAGCAATATAACTTCTCTGAGGACATATATATTCACACATGATATTACAAATTATATTTATATGTGTGTGTATATATCTATATGATGTCAGTTATAGAATAGGATTAATTATGTTGGAAAAGACCCTTAAGAACATGAAGTCCAGCCTTTAACCTAATACTGCCAAATCCATTACTAAACCATGTCCCCTAAGTACCATGTCTATGCATATTTTAAGTACCTCCAAGGATGGTGTCTCCACCACTTCCCTGGGCAGACTGTTCCAATGCTTGACAACCCTTTCAGTATAAAAAATTTTCCTAATATCCAATCTGAACCTCGACTGGCACAACTTAAAGCTCTTTTCTTTTGTCCTGTTGCTTCTTACTTGCGAGAAGAGACAGACCCCCACATCACTACAACCTCCTTTCAGGTAGTTGTAGAAAGCTATAAGGTTTCCCCTCAGCCTCCTTGTATCCAGACCAAACAAATCCAGTTCCCTCAGCTGCTCCTCATAAGACTTATTCTCCAGACTCCTCCCCCAGATTCATTGCCATTCTGCCACGCTCCAGAAAGACCTTCTTGTAGTGGGCAGCCCAAAACTGAACACAGTACTTGAGATGCAGCCTCACAAGTGCTGAGTTCAAAAGGACAATCACTCCCCTAATGCATAATAATATCTTCTCCCTCTCCATGAATATTAAAGGTACTTTCTTATCTCCTGTTTGATACAACACAAATTTGTAAGTCATATGATGTACTTTTTTAAAAACAGGAATAAAAAATACAAAACTGAAAAAGAAGTCCCAATTTTTGAAAATAAATTTATATGAACTATTTTTAACTTTCTTTTTAATGGTAACTCTGGAATACAAACAACTCAATACTAAGTAGCTATTTATAGCTTTTGGGTTTTGTTTTTTTTTTTTCTTCCTTCTCTCTAACATACCAAGCACTCTGGCCATATTAAAGTCCTGAACATCTCAGGGAAAAGATTGCCTTCCAATGTACTTCACAAACAATAAATGAAGTGCAGAAGAGTTTATAGGATTGATCTGTAAACATACCTTTCATCTCAAACCTGAAATTGACTGCCATTTCATTTGTTCAAAAGCACCAAAAGTTATGTTCTTCATGGTTTGTACAACGCTACACAGTAGACTGGTGATAGGGATCAATAACAGAACTATGAATCCTAAGACTTTTCTGTTGCTAGATTCCAGAACACAATCTACCACCCTATCGTGCACAACCCACACTTTCAATCTTAACTGCCTAATTTGACTTTCAAATGTCACTTTTCTTTGTTTCACAAAATACTTCTGATGAACAAAGCTAAAATTTCCATCTGCACCTTTATGACAGGATTAGATGCTAGGCTCAAACTTGTAAAACATATAACTATTAAAGGAACTTAAACTCTGCTGGTATAATCCATTGATGATGAATTTATTATATCAGACAAATGCCTATCAATATTTTTTATCACTTTAGATATACTAGCATTCAACAAATACTAATCTGATTTGATTACAAGGAGCCTGAACTTTTCTTGGGTGATAAGTGATTACTTCTAAGGCCTCTTTATGGTTCCCTTTGTTTTTCACTTATGAAACTTATTTAATGTCTCTGACTGCAATCAGAAGATTTTCCAAGGTCTCACAGTTGTTTTAGGCTTTTCAGCACACAAACAGTGCTAAAACAATATATTAGCACAAACTTCTTGGTTAGGAGGAGGAGAGAAATCTCCAGAGCTAGATAGAAATCAATAAAAAAAAGAGATTAAAATCTAATATTCACTATATATTTTCATTTTAAAGAACTTGTTTAGTCAGAGAAACTCTCTTGCTTCAGCCTCTTCTTCAGTGTTAGGCCTCATTTTAGCTATCACATCTTCTTGCCTTCCTCACATGAGATGTTGTATTTTGTAATTACACAATTAACAATCCCTATGCATGTAAAACAATCTGCTATTCACTCTGCTACTGAGACATAGCTTTTAATACTGATTACTTTAATATCCCTTCTCATTGAAGTGCATATTTCAAACACAGGCTATAGATAGACAAGGAAGCAACCTGTACTACTTGGATCCAAACTTGAGGGCATTTGGATGTTACCCCTTCAAATATCTACCCAGTCAACTGCTTTCCAGCTATAAGGTTGAGTCTGTTCTCTGTTGCAGAGATTTTACGTTCATTTTACTCTATCAGTTTCCTTGTTCCAACACTGTTACACTGCAACAGATCCCCTAAGCAAAAAAGAACAGGCCAAAATTTGAGACTAGAAATCATTACTCATTACTCAAGGACTTTACTACAATCAGCAGTCCATATTTGTCTTTTATTCTTTCTAAACAGGTTAATGAGCAGCTAGAATAAATTTGAATGGTATAAAAATGAGGGCAGTAGAGGACTGTAATATTAAGATGATTTCCATTTAGTTGCTTTATTGAAGGTGACTCTCACATCTGTTGGCAGTTTCCTCTGCCCCGGGTAGAGTTATTGAGGGCAGAACATGAGGCAGAGACTAATCAAAGATTTTTCCAGGTTGCATCAGCCCTTGTAAGATCTGCTGAGGGAAGCACTCAGTGAAAAGTTTGTATCTATACGAAGCCATCTTTTTTACAAATAAGAACAGCTATGCAGAGGGCTGTGCACCGACTCTCCTGAAGTCTGTTGAAACACAAAGGTAGTATTGCACTACAAGGAGAGGTACATGGCTTGAGCCATCCCTGAAGATAACTGGTATTTTCATTTATGGATACAGTTTCCATGGGAATTAAAACTTATTTGTGTGGTTACCTCAAATAAATTCTTTATCATATGTTTCCAGATTACTCCATATTTACAATTTAGATTTTAAATAACTCATAATAAAATGTCAAGATACTGCGAGAATACTGCAATCAAAATTAGACTGAGATTGAAAGGGGGAAAAAATGTTTCATCTGAACTATTTCTTGCACTTAAATTAGTAACATAAATACATATTTTTAACAGACAGGAATGCCAAACTACTACATTACAGTGGGTGAAGTGACCAGAAACTGAGTTCTGGCTATGAATGCTAAAAGTTAATTAACCTGACAAAATGTGTTCAACTTTTTCAAAGGTGGTTATTTATCAGCTAAAGCTAGCAAAATTTAGGTGGGTTTGTGTGTAGACAAAAATTTCATCTGTGACATTGATTACACATGACTGAGTAGACCTCAGGTGAACCTCTGGCCTCATTCATGTTTCATATATAAATGGGGTTGTTGCCAAATATCATTACTTGCTCATATATCTCCTGTTGTATTTCATACCAGGATTGCAGTAAAAGTGCTGAATTGATTTAAGACTTAACATAGCAGCTTTTATTTAGGTTTTATTGCTTACAAATCTATAGTAAAGTAATTCTGTTAGGTAACATTTACTGCAAATCATAATAGTTCATTTATAGTTCATTTATTTGCATAAAATATCTATTTAAAGTCACTAGGTCTCATGACATTCAAAATAAAATGAAATTCTGAGTTAAAAAAAGACTGTATCTCTAATAAATAAAGCTTTCAGATACGTAATATCTAGTCCATTGTCTGCTCTTTTAAGATGCTGCATCTCTCTTTGTTTCTTTCAGAATTGATATTCAAGGAACCAGGAAGAATAGGTAAATACAATAGGGCTGGAGAGTTTTTTTGAGTAGTCAGTTATGCAGTGGAGTTACCACTCCAGAGTAGTGTTTTCAGCAAATACTCTTCTTCTGACAATCTAAGCAAAGTAGTCAGGACATATTTCTTTGGAAAATCTATCTTCTCCAAATTTATTTATTGTGCTACTGCTTTCATATGTTTATCAGGAATAGTACACATAATAACAACATGCATACCTTTTCTAAAGCTGGAGGTAAAATAGTCTTTTAAGTAATAGAAACTGGATGAGTTAGCATGAAATACAGTTGCTGCCTCTTTTGTTACTTTTACTCAGTACTTACTGTATGTATTGGTGGCAATTGTAAAAGATATATCAAGGGTTTTAGTTCTTCATCAGAAATAATTTTCATTTTCCAGTCAATGCATATCTTATTTCTTCCACCATTAATTCTACAATGTGGTCTCAATTATATCCATAGAAGTGGGAAACAACCCATCCTGACCCAAATATTTCTGAATTAATAAATGCTCTTTATCAATCCGTTATACAGATTAATGCACCACAACTTGCAAGATGATTAAAATGACCCTTTGTTATGGGAATCAGCAGGACCCGAAGAATATAATTGCCAAAAAGTTAAATGTCATCTGGGAATGTGACTATGGTCTTTGTATGTTAAAAGTGGGTGGTAATATTAAATCAGGTTTCCATTACTGTATGGATCTTGCTGTCAGAGTTTTACGGTTTAACCATATTTTGTCACATAGGACTATGACCATGAGGCATTTACAATCCAAGTTCTTTTAAAGGGAAGAAGTTAATAGATCAAAACAAGTCACTGCTGCAATTGAGTCAAATGAGATGATCACATAAATGAAGCTGGTCAAGAGGAAACACAGGCTTCAAACAGTCAGTCAGCAGTAATGAAAAACATGCCTTCTTTTGAACAGTTGTTTTTAATCTTCTGATTAAGGATTCTCCTGTTGCTATACATATTTTTCATTGCCTTTTGTGATCAGAAAACATACTAAAGACTGAAAGACCACTGTTTATATCTTGAAAGCTTTCTACAGCAGTCTTAGTTTGGTGAAGATCTTAATTTTCCTTAAATTTTCATGCAATCATTAAAATTGATATCCATTTTGTCAATTGGATGAGGGAAAAACAGATTTGTGATTGCTTGCAGATGATTATTAGTTCCCAGTGTTTGTATGATGGGGAAGCATATGGTGGAGGCATCTCTGTAACATAAATCTCTTGCATCCACCAAAAGAAAATGAAAAAATATATGCAATCTAGTCAAAAGATCACAAAATCAGGAATGAAGAAACTTACTTTGATCTCTGGTCTTTGAATTGCAGGGATATTACATGTACAAATTACCACAGCATTTGAATGAGATGTATAATCCCAGCCAGATACAAGAACAGCAATAATAACACCACCACCTCTCTTTTGTACAGGGCTTTCATATGGGGCTCTTGAAAGAGCTTTACAATGACAAATATTAGTATTATTTCAATTTTACAAATTGAAAGAAGAAAGAAAAGTTCACATGAGCTACATTGCCCTTCAGTAAAACAGAAGACAGGACTGAGTGCTGACACTATACTTCCTGAAATTATATCAATAACAAGATGAATTAATTTCTAGTATTACTGGGCTTATTCCTAAAATTAAAGTACTTCCACTCTTTGTGTTAATGTAATTTATAGTGTTGAATGATGACATAATGTTGCTCTTTCCTATTTCAGTCATTTATTTCTGACCAAAAATTGACAGTACAACAGAGACTACTGTGAAAGTTTTCTAACCAGAAGCATTACAGCATGTGAGAACCATGTAAAAACACCACAAGAAGGTCAAATGTTAAACTGCAGTGCAAATTGCCATTTAGCATTTGCTACAGGCTTGGTAAATACCCCACTAATGAACCAGACCTTTATTAGAGTTCACATCATTGGTGATTAGCTTTTGCTGACAACCCATTTCACCTCCTGCACTTCAGCATTATGCTTTACTATAGGAAAAAGATAAAATATTAATGCCAACAAGATCAGACACTTTGTGTGCTTTATTGCAACTTAATGTCTTTATTGTCTTCTAATTTAAGTAATTTGAACTTTTGTTTCAGTCCCCACCAGCTAATTCAAATACAAATATAAAATATCCTGACAAGCAAAGCTTCTAAAACCGGTGAGTTAATCACATACCATTAATAATATTTTTTTCTTTAATAAAGGAGAAGATGACAACAAAAACATACAATACCTCATCTAGTTCCATTTCATCTGGACTCTCCCATGGTTTGATAAATTTTCCACGAGACCTCTTCAAAGGCACAATAACTATGTAATAACCTCTGTAAAGGGAACAGTTGGACAAAAGTGAAGTTGAAGAAAAGTGATTAGATAAAATGGTGGAGTAGGTTTCTGTTCAGAGGAACTTGAGAGAACAGAGGTATGTTGATAGCAAACTTTTGCATTTTATTATGCTACTGAAGCCTCCCAAACATAGTTGTAAAGATTCACACTCTTGAAACTACATCCACTGTAAACATTTGATAAACAAATGGCACTAATTACCTGTCCTTTCACAGAATCACAGATCACTTTTCATGTAAACATATAAATATGTATAAGAAACTTTAATTACAATGTTCAAAAATGCCTACATATTTGACTGCATGTTATTATCTCAGTTGAAATACAAGAGCCATGGGATACTCGTGACTTGCCACCATCACACTGGGAAAAATTTCCAAACCTCTAAATTGAAACGTATTACCATATATTTAAATCTCAATTATCACCCCATCTTCCCCTATTTTCATGTATAATCAGAATAGTAGGTTAACATAATGTGTTTATTGATGCCAATACTATTATACATGGAAAATAAAGAAGACATAGCATACACTCCACCCACACACACTTTCAAGTATCAATCACCATCCGCTTTATCTACTTAAGTATTCTGTTCACAGTCATAGACAAGAGAGCTTGATGTATGCTCTCTTTATAGCTAGGATTTGCAAATTACATGTATCAGTTTTCCTAAGAAACATTTTCCTGAAAATATCTGCCTCCTACCCCCCATGGAGACTAGTAAATTATACTTTCTAGTATAATACAGATATGGCACTTTCCTTGTTTCCTTCACAAAGCCTGGATACATGTCACACAGATCCATAATTTCACATTAGTGTGAGGAAAGCAGCAGAAGAATCACAATAGCAGGACATCTAGGATGGTATAATATACATCTTCTTGATAAACACACTTGTCAAAAAGTCAAGCACTCTCCATCTCAAAAGACAGAGCAAGAAGCTGCTCTCCTTTGTTTCTAGTAACAACAGAGCTTATTAAGAAGGTGTCTCCAGCTATCCATTATGGAAGATAATTTTAGTGTCTTTTGGACCATCTTCTCTTTCAGTCTGCCATTTTTTACAGCCTATTCAACCTTCTGTAGCATTGACTATTCATTTTACTCACACAATGCAGTTGCAAAACCTAAAGTAATTAATGAAAAGAGAGTCTACAGAAAAGGACTTGCTTTACAATTGATTCAAACCTATCTCTGTCTAAACTGACTCTGTAAACTATCTTTCTTCCTTACCGGTTAACATCATTGGTCTATTTTAATATTCCCTTCTTAATTAAAGCTCCTTCCAAAGATTAGACAAAAATCTTTGTATTTTTACCTATGGTAGCAAATGCATGTATTTGTTTATTCTTGTGTTAAGAAATTTGAGAAATTTCTCTGTGGAAATCCTGAGCTCCGACGGGAGGTGCTGGAAACAAGAAATGTTGGCCACAGATCTTTAACTGCTGCTCACTTGCTCTACTCCAGTATTAAAAAAAAAAAAAAAAAAAATCTGCAGCATGCATTATTATAGTATGATAAATCATATCCTTTTACACTGATGTTCTTAGTCAAAACTAGTAAAGCTGGTTGAACCTAGATTTTAAACCTGAGTATGTATTTTTGAAATTCTTTGGTTACATGCTTAACAAATCCCAGTGAATGCTGATTTATTCATGAATACAATAACTACAACCTACATACCTTTTCTTAACAGATGCCTAAGAATAAAGACAAAAAAGTGATTGAGAATTGGCCCCTATGTCTTTCAGACATTGAAGATACATCTTCTGGATGAACTGCACAGCAGCCTTTTACTTATTGTTTTATTTTGCTGCTTTTTTTTTTTTCTTTTTTATGCTAACAAAGTGTTCGTACTTATTTTTTTTTTTCAATCAAGGAACATCCACCATACAAATGTTACTTTCACACTCTTTCACACTTTCTTCCTGCATGCCTCCCACTCATAACTTTGATCATCCACTAAGACTTTCAGCACATAGAGAGTACGTTAAAGCTGAAAGCACAAATACATCAACAGCAAGCAAGCAGAAAAATTAAACCGTTCACATAAATATCCAGTGCTGGAAATTGTAAAGGACAACAAAGTTCTGTTATTTCTAGCTAACTCCAGAAAATGCAGCGTCTCTTGAAAAAAATCTTTTATTATTTCCTTTATTATTTTCTTGTTTGATTTGAGGAGCTTTTTTGGGGGGGAAGGGCGAGAAATGGGGGGGTTTGCTTGGACTACTGAGTATTAAAAAGACTGAAGCCTTCAAAAAAACTCTGTTTTTATCTAAGACTTTGCAAAGATGGAAGAGATTCAGAAAAACATGAACTGTCCTTTACACATAAAAATTGCCTCAGATCAGCCCAAAATACTACAGGAAAATGAAGAAATTGCTCACTTGAGACGACTCCAGCAAAAGAGATCCATTTTCATAGAACCATAGAATCATAGAATGATAGAATTTCCCAGGCCGGAAGAGACCTCCAAGGGTCATCTAGTCCGACCTCCCCACAGTCAGCAGGGACACCCCCAACTAGACCAGGTTGCCCAGGGCCTCATCGAGCCTCTCCTTGAATATCTCCAGGGATGGGGCCTCAACCACCTCCATGGGCAACCTGTTCCAGTGCTCCACTACCCTCACAGTAAAGAACCCCCTCCTAATCTCCATTTTACCTAGCATAAGGTGAGCTCTGTTCCAATTCATATGCTGTATCACCATCACACATTGAAATAATGAAAATTACTTTTACCATCTTTAATAAATTACAAATACTCTTATAACATCACCTTCAATCCCATTACTATTTACCTGTAGTTCATTAGAGCAAACCATTAACTGTTTCATCTTCTGTGTAATTAGTATTATTGAAAGATTCTCAGTGTATAGTTCCTCATAGTAAGATAGAGACAATCATGAGCATATAATGTACCCACAGAGGAACAGCAACTGTAAAAATGTCAACATAACTATTACACAAAATTGTTCTTCTCATACAAAGACTATAACTGCAATATCTTACTTATTCTAGCAAGCATCAGGTAAGCTTTTTCTGTTCCGTATTTAGTTGCTTTGTTATGCCTGCTTTCAAGGGTCGTCAGTCTATTTTATTTGTCATTTTGTTTTTCTGTCTCAGCCCGATCACATCTTCTTAGGAAATAAATACAGAAGAAGGAAGTGCATTATTTACAAAACTGGCGGTTGGACCCCATAGGTTTAACGTACCTGTCCTGATGTCACTTAGCCTCTTTCACATTTTTACACTACATAAAAAGAAGGACACTGGCTCTTTTTTTCCACTGCCGTCTTCTGCTATTGTTTGACCAGCTACCCTGCACCTTTTTCTCTCTATGAATGTTCTGCCTCATAAATCTTTTTTTACTCATTCCATCTTCAGTCCTCCTTAGCTGCATTTGTTACTGACCACATCTTACTCAATCTAATGATAATGGCTACATTTTTCAGTTTTTCATCCTTTTAATGTCTCAAAGTCATTTCCTTCTTGACCTCACCTGCCTCAAAATCTTCAGTCAGTAATGAAAAAGGGGAACAGCTTTCTACAAAGCCATCAGTAAAAATTCACCAGGGAGAGGACAAGTTGGATCCCCAACAATATTTAATGACTTGCTCATTTTCCTCCCCATTTCCTTTATATTACACATGGGAACTTTATAGACCAACAAGAATCACTATAAGCAGAGCAATAACACTTATTGATTGTAACATGCTTCATGTTTTCTTGGCAAATCTTTATTGTCTAAAGCCTTTCTAATCCCTGCTGACCGTGTGCTGTCAGCTCTTTAGTCCTGTTTCTGCTGTTTAAATCTCCACAGCATCTTTTCCCCCCAAATTTAATAAACCTCTGTTAAATTCTCTGCCAATTTTTTCAGCAAAATCTCTTTCTGGGACCAGTGGAGAAAACCTGAGATTCTTCTTTTAATAATAAACTTCAGAATTGATTCATTGAAATTAATATAAGTGCAGTAACAATTGTTTAAAATTCCATGTAATTCTGGAATGACTGATTCTGAGCACTTCAAGGTGTTGTGGAAGAGCAGCCACCCATTGATAGGTTATCCATTCTTCTTGAGAGGATACACTGTTCAAAACACAACTGACTTCCTTAATCCCCCTTTGCTACTTGAAATCAGTGATGAAACACAAAAGTACTCTGAGAAAAAACTACTGTCCAGTCTAAACATCCTCTGGCACAGCTCTGAACCATTCCCACATGTCCTATCACTGGATACTGAGGAGTAGAGATCAACATCTCCTTCTCTACTTCCCCTTCTCAGAAAGCTGTACAGAGCAATGAGGTCACCCCTCCAATTTCTTTTCCCCAAATTAGACAAAACCAAAGTCCTTAGCTGCTTCTCAAAGGACACGCCTTCCAGACCTTTCAGCAGCTTTGTTGCTCTCTGCTGGATGAATTCAAGTACCTTAACAACAGAATCTGGCATTTGTTCTTGTTAAATTTCATGCCACTGAGGATTGTCCAATGCTCCAACCTAATCTAGATCCCTCTGCAATGCCTCTTGCCCCACAAGAGAGTCAACAGCACCTCTCAGTTTAGTATTGTCAAATAGCAGTCCAATATTAGAACAAATACTATTGCAGAGTGCTGGACTCTCTGTATCATTATCAAGAATAAATCCCTGTTTATTCCACTACAGCTCTATATTTTACTAAGAGTAAAAATAATTACCTCTCTGGAGCTAAAAATAATGATATGTCATTCATTCACTCACTTTATATTCTCATTTGAAGGTACTTCTGGAAGTTCCACAGTTATCATGCCGTCTAAGTTGGTCTTTCCAATGAAGACTGGCTTGGTGCGAAGCACATCTGGTGCAGTCTTTGCTGTCACTCTGTGCTGAAGACCCCCAGCACTATTCCCTCTGTTTGTCAGCACAAACGAATATGATGTCTCTGGCTTCAAGTTAGTGATCAGCTTTTGAGTAGCACGTCCATCAACCTCCACTACCATTTTCCCATCATCATAAAGGATCTAAGTTAAAATATAAATTGAAGGTGGCTTTGGTTAGGAAGAGAAGGCAACTGATACTGTCACACTGAATTCAGGAATGAACCTTAGCTATAAATTCAAAATGAATGAATGACTTTAGGCTGTAAGATAGTACTGAAATTCAGTACTACAACTAAACTTCTAGCTTTCAGGGATAAAAAAGAACTATATTAATTTACAGCAGTGTAAGACCTCCTAAAATCCAATTCACTTACTCAAATTCAGTAGTTTTGCTTCAGCAGAGCATTTATATCAAAACATACTTGTTGTTAAAGGTACCTTGACTTTTTCATTCACACCTCTTATACAAAAAGGTTCTTGCAACATTTAGTTCGTAAGATACTGCTCTTCACTTGCCACTGCCTGACATGACACAAGTGATGAAGAATGATGCAGAAGAAATGCTAGCCAGACTTCAGGTTACACTGAGTCTCTTTATCTGGCTAATGTGGAGCAAAAGAGTTGTAAAGCAAAAATGTGTTGTTAATGTGAGGAGACAAAACCAAAATGGTACTCAGCTACAGTCACTACGGAAATGAAGAAAAAGAAGAAAATTAGTCTTTTCTTTCACTGTTTTCTCTAAAATATAATAGCAATGAACTGCAAATTAGCAAGGTGCTCATATCATGCATAATAGCAGTACTAGCATGACTTGGAAATACTGCCACAACAGTGGAAAGCTCATCTTGCAAAACGACTGAATTTAACAGCTTGGGTCAATATTGCTGCTGAATTTGCATTCTTAAATGCAAAAATACCAAAAAAACCCATGTGTTTAGTAAGCCACTTAACCAGGTGAAAGACATCCTCTAGTTTATGTGTTTTCTCTCATACAAATGGAAAATGACTTACTTTGAAAGGCAAGGCTGAATTGTAATTTTCTGGAATTTCCCAGGACAGCAAAACAGAAGTCTTCATTACTGCTTTAACATGAAAATTTTTTGCAAACACTGCTGGAAAAAAACACAACAATGTATATAAACAACATCTTGGAGCTTAGATCTCATCATATTTCTACTGTTACTCAGGTGTCTTAGCTTTCCATTTAGGTAAAAACCAACAAGGATTCACTTTTCCTACCTGTTTGCTCATATTCAAATATCACATTTTAACCATTCTCACTTTTATCTAGTGACAACCCAACACGTACATTTTCCTTACCTGAAAGAATTGTGAAGATGTTAGCCAGAACTTGCTTGGCAAGGAACAACTGAATTCTAAGGCATCCAAAACATATTAAGATTTACATACTTTACCTTCAGTGTTTGATGAACCTATTTTTATGAATGGGCCAGTCAGTTTTATTTACAGCTTCTAAAACACTGATATCCAAAGACCGATACTCCTTTAAAGGTCAACGCCATAAGCAGACAAATCCTACCTTGATCCACGGGTAGTGTCCTGAACTGGACACTTGGACTATATGGACCAGGCCCTTTGCTTGTGTGGGCACGTACTTTTACATCATATGTGGTATCTGGTTTTAAGCCAGAAAGTGTCATAGTGGTATCAGCAGGAACAACTGGGAGTTCAACTGGCTGGTAAGCAACATTGATATCTCTGTACAAGATGGTATATTTGGTGATAATGCCATTTCTCTCTGCCAAGAGTGGCATCTGCCAAGTTAATTGAACTGATGTAGAAGTAGAGCTTTCCGAGTGGAGATTTTGGGGAAATCCACTGGGTACCTCTTCAGGAACAGAAATCTCTTTAACCATCTCCTCCCCAAAGCCCACTTTATTTCTAGCTGAGAGCCTGAAGACGTAAGAAGCTCCTTTGTGAATATCTGTGGCTGTGAAGTGATCTTCCTTCTCTGAGAACTCCATGGTGGTAAATGTATCCACGTCTTTGCGACCAAACTTCAGCCGATAACCCTGCAGCGGGCCAAAAGTGTCGACAGGAGGGTGCCACTGAATTAGAGCCGTGTTCATCTGTGTGTGGCTAATCACAAGTCGAGGTTTGCCTGGAACTGTAGCACAATGTTATTTAAAGATGATAAATACAAACAGAATTGCATGTACAATTCTTGAGGCTAGTTTTAGCAGCAATAGGGATAAATTTTCTCTTCCCTCACTCTTAGTTCCACAAGTTACTGTCTTATGGAAGAAATAATGTCTGCACTACAGTCATAAAGTATAACGAACTACCATAGTAAAACCATTTACTGTTATCCTCTTCCCTCGACATTATTTCTAAGTACAGAGAACATTCAGAGGTACAGAACTTAGGAACACGACTCAAGAAGTAAAACTTCAAACAGACATCTCATGAATGGTTCTGTCTCACTTACAAATCCTTGCTTGTAAAAAAAGAGTATTGTCAAAGCATTCATTAATTTAATCCAAGGCACATTTCTGCCATTCCTGTAAATGGAAAAATAATTAATGATAATAATAATAGTAGTAGTAATAATAATGGAAAAATTACAAATTTCTAGATGTGTCTAATGTAACTTTTGCCATTAATAGTTAAAATGTGGTAGAAGGGGAGTCAGATCAACCCTGTCATCAACTATCATTAGTACATATGATAGAAACCTATCATTCAACTTTCTGTACACAAATCACCTCAAGCACGGGCTGTTTCAGCTTGTAGTGGTAGCAACAGTTTGGAACTGAATTTCTTGGTTGTCCTGTATTACTGCATATGATTTAGTTTCCAGCATGGTCTTGCTGCACTTGAACTGGATTTCCTTTGAAGAAGACTATATTGGAAGCTCTTCTTAACCTGCATACCGGATACACTAAATCCTAAATTGGGATCTATTGGTCCAAATTGAGGATTTGTCTTTCACAGAAGTTCAGACTGTAAGTGTGGTGAGAATATCCAGTCTAGAGGGTCAAATTAGCCCAAATTGAGGGGTTATATGGTGTACATTTTTGAAGTCCCAAACCAATTGCTCTCATTTACTGTCTATTTTCTTTATATATTTTATTTATTAATTAATTCATATTTCTCTCTATATATATTTCTTTTATATTTCCATTAATATTTCTATTTCAAAATAGTCCGTTTCTATTACAATGACTTATTTGATAATGAAGCATATCCATAACTATTTAGAAATTTGGAGTTCATTGTGTACTAATGCCTGACAGGTCAACAGACTAGAATAGCCTTGGGAGTAGTAGTGCCAAGATAACATAGTCTTCCATAAAGACTAATTAGTTCCATCAGCATTCAAAGCCTTCCCATGTGAATGTAACTGCTTCACTGTGAGCTCTGGTTACTGTATTTAAACACTTCAATGGATTTTATTACTTATCTTCAGTTCTCAGGCACCCAGCAAATCAGATTCTTATTGTCAAAAATTCCAACTACCATTCCATAATGAATTAGGAATAAGGAGGGAGAAATGGTATGGCTTGAAGAAAATTCTGCATTTAATAAGCTCGTTTCTCATTATATCTGTTGTAAGTCGTGACATTGCTTCTAATTGCCTAAGAATTATAGCTAGTTTTCATATAATTTTTCCAAATAACCTTCCTTTTAAATGTCTAGTTCACCTGCAAGTATTATTCCCAGGAATCATGTTTTTTCCCATCCTTTCTGCTGCATAAAGAGTATCTCTCTGACTAGTTCTGACTTTTCCTCATTGATTATTATGAGCCTATATGGAACAAAGAAAAGGCTGTGAAGGCCTTTTGCAGGCCATATTTTTCTCTACATTATAACTATTACTGAAACCAATGGAGCACATTAAAGAGAAGAGGAGTCCACACAAATAGAATAATACCTCCTTCACCTTTCTAGAAGAGAGACTGCTGGAAGATGTCACTAAATTATTTTTGTGATAAATTGCTTTCTTTTCTTGTGGCAGACCTCACAGTTATAACTATTTTTTAACCTTTGTGGTAACTACAGAGAAAGAAAGACAGAAATTACCACTTGTTCTTGATCAGAACAGGGGAACTAATTAAGCTTACTTATGATTAAAATGGTAAACAACAACAGTCACTCTTTTATTTTTAATATGGAGCCTGATTTTGCAACGTGTTTAAACTTTTTGTTAACATGCAACTATTGATAGAGAATGAAAATATTTTATTCTCTCTCTCTTTATTTCCAGACAGCTTTCAGTTAACATTTTCTTTTGGTGTGATCACTTGTGAATAGTAGTCTTGTGGGACAAAAGGCAGGATTTTGTGCAGTCCAATATACAGTAGTGTCATGGAATAGCTTTATCTAGAAACTTGTGATAATAATACCTGAATTTGCCATGAGCCTGAATGAAGTGAAATTGCCCATGAAAAAACATATTCTCTGATCTAGTGAAGTGTACCTCCATCACTACACAGCAAGATGCTTCTCACACACCCATTTGCAACAGTCATTACACTAAACAGTTGTAATGATATGCCATAACTAGTAGAAGCTCATGCAAACTGCCTTTGCCAGATTACCTGAAGTAACTTGTTTCTTATAGCTTCTATACAGTACACCACTGTCTTAATGTAAATTTTCTCCTCTTAGCTGAAATCTGTATGTCAAGAGTGCTGTCCTGCACGGAGGGTAAATTCCAAACAATGGACAAGCTGTTGTGCTATGAGATTCTTCAACTACTATTACCCATAAATTAAAAGTCTGTTTAAATTTTCCATTAAATTGTATTATATCACTGACTAGTATGTCTTAATTTTTATCAAGGTCTTGTTAATCAATCACATATTTTGTAACTTCTGCCCCACCTAATTTAGAATTTTCAAATACTTCAACTTTGAAACATTCAGTAACATTTTTTTCTTCCATCTGATTTCAAAAACTAGAAAAGGAAACTGAATATAAGACAAAAACACACTCTGGAGTGAAAATATTAATTTTATTCAGTGACTTCAGTAATAACTTCAGTTACCATCCTGTAGGCTCACTTATATTTGGTGAATCTTTCCCATCTAAAATGTATATGATGCTTTTATATCACAAACTGGACACGGCTGACTAGTTACTTATCATCTAAATACATTATGAATAGTAAGCTTCTCCAGAAAACATTTATATCTTTATTCTCCTTTCATGTCTCTGATGGATATGAACTCGCTCATTCCAATACAGCTGCACCTGACTTAAACCTTTAGAAATTAGACTAGAAAGTCAGATCTTTCTTTAGTATTTGAATACCTCTTTTTTAAGAAAAAAAAGAATAATCAAATGGAAACTCTCAGAGAACAGGGTGTATTTCACACCTACAAGCTCCTGCTATTAATGCATCATTCACCTGCCTGATGTATTCTCACAGAAAGATGGTGAGCTGGAAACACCTGGTACTGGCTATTTTATTGTCTCCTTTTTCAAAAATCTGCATGTGTATTTTCCTTATAAAAAAAGCTCAACCACAGCAAGCTGTAACAGCAAGTGCAGAGCTGTTCATACAACCTGGAATGTATGAAGAAGCAAGATGGTGACTAGCTGTTATCCTAGAGAACAGGAACAAACATTACTTGCCTACAGGGTGAAGCAAACATCAAGAACAGTATAATACATATTACATTTACAGGCATGCCTCTGATTCTCAATTGATTCTCAATTCTCTTCAGTCACTCAGAGTTTTATGGGACGTGGGATCTCTTCATCTTAAAGCACAGAAGCTTTAAGTTTTGCAAGCAGGTTTGCATAGCCTATGTTTATGTCTAGTAACTAACGAAATCATAATCTATACAATTGTGTTTATTTAAATTGAGAACTGAATTTTAAAAATAATAACAGATCTTAAATTAGGTTCAAATGCAAGTGAGAACTATATATCCTTTTTTTTCCCAGAGCATGAGAATTCAGGATAGATAAGAAGTTGGAGGGTAAGCTTCAGCATCAGTCAAGACTAATGACTAGGAGGTACTCTAAAATCTGAAATGAAGCTATAGGATACATATAGCCACCAAGACCAAGATTTTTCCAAGGAAGCTGATGAGAAAAGTTTCTGATATTAGTACAAGATGTGCTTTACATTCAGTAATTGTTTTAAAAACTGACTCAATCAGTGTAAGTACAACTACATATGCCTTTTGGACTTTATATATTAGTATAAACAATACATTGCTATTAACAGCTTTTAACAGTGCTGCCAAGGTTTCCATGTGATTGTAATGGAATATCCTTAACCGTTACACTCCAAAACTCAGAAAATTAACATCTACAGGCTGTGAACACCTCTAGGTGAACACCACGCTAAGGCTGTTGTGGTACAATTTGGTTAAGCTGTCCCACGGGGAACCATTTAAATTTTAAAAACTTGTTCCTCATCTAAAAGCAATTCAGTTCACGCCCATCAGTGTTAACTGAATCAGCTGTATTAGTCATGCAGTCAGATACCCACCATCTACTACCACCTGTGATCAAATGCAGACTTAACACAGTGGCATGGTTTATTTTTGCCCCAGTTTTTGCATCAAATCACCACTGAAGCAACATGGGTTTCAGGGTTTCACAGGCTTTCATTCTGTTTTCTAATTCTCTGCTATAATAATCACATTCTTCTGAGGTAAGCTGTGACTGTAATACAGACAGGTTCTTTCAATGTTCTTACTGACATGCAGAAGAATTGCCACTCATAAAGATCAGGAAAGCCCTTCACAAGTTTTTCAAATCTTCTTCTCATCTCTGAATTTCTGTTTTTTATCTCTCCAAGAAGACACCATTCAGAACGGAACTGCTACTAGAGAGTATAAAGTCAAGTATTGCATTTTGGCCATACCTTGAGCTGAGAAAGGGACAAAGAGGGACAGTGGTTCTGCCTTCATTTAAATAAAAGAAGGGCCAAATACTGACCCAGAAAAACCTATGTCCTATAAACACTTTTTACACAACAAGAGACTTCCAAATAGTAGGAGCAAAACACTGGCAGAAAAAGTCAAAGGATTTATTCAGACATGAATGCGTATGTGAGTATTACCTGCACCAGCAGTCGATACGAGTTTAGGCTTGCTGCGAGCTCCATCACCTTTTGTTGTATACGCTGTCACAGTGAAGGAGTACGTAGTTTCAGGCTGAAGCCCAGAAATTATCATTTCCTAAGATGAAATAAAACAAGAAGAATTTATTAAAAATCGACTTTTTTTTTTTTTTTTTCCAGGAGAGCAAGGAATTCTTCAGACAAACCCTGTATATTACAAAAAGTATGCCTGCTTTTGTGATACTGGCAGTGATAGCAAGCATTTTGTGAGCACCGACAGACTGTTCTGTGTGAAATACTTCACAATGCAAAATGTTTCACTCCCTTAAACAATAAAAGACAGCATGCTTCTAAATAGCATGCCTCAGGCAGTTTAAGGCACAAGGCCAAAGGCTCTGTGGTGAATAAAGTGAAATACAGTGAATAAAGCCTTCTGAAATACCTTGCCTGAGGAATACTACTCATATTGTGAAATACATGCATATGTAGATATGAAAAACTCTGTTTAACTTAAATCATTTACAGGACATCACTGATATAGTTACAAAATGCCTAGTAAGAAGTACTGCAGTTGTATCCACATTTTGTAATGAATCCACATTTGCACTGATGGTTTTGCTGAACAAGAAAGCCTTGTTACTTTCGTAAGACCTTCATTGCAACCTGTGTTGCTGGTTGGATTGTGCATCTGAGTATCTCAAAGTACTTCAGAAACAATGCACTCTTCAGGTGTAAAAGAACTACCTAAAACACCATTAAAAATCTTGTCAGTGAATAAATCTGAAAGCCCTCGAATAAATGACAGCAACTACAAAACAAGTAGCTTTTCAGCTAGTACAAGTGAATGGGACCAAGATCAAATTGTAAGTGTGGAAGCTAGGGGAATCTTTTTACATATGCGTGCACACGCACACACGTGTATACACACACAGAAGACGCTGAAGGGCCAATCATCTGAAATGAACTAAACTTACATCATGCTATAAAGGCAGCCAGAGGAATGTAAGTCTTGACACTCATGATATAAATGAAATTTATATGCAAATATAAAAGGACAGTATTTGGAGGCAACTGGCTGGCCCAAAGTGCCCAACTCATCAGCTTCCAGTCTGTAACCACTGGACTACTAGTTCGCATTTTCACATGCCTGAATGGATTTGCACTAAATGTCATTGCTGCTAGAGAGATGGTATATTTATGCATCTAGAATAAATAGTGAATATGCAATCACACACCCCTCAGATGCAACAACCATAAAAGTTAATATAAAAATTATGGGTCAGACTATCTACAGTAAATGGGTTTTTCAAGACAGTGGGTATGAGCTCAGTACAGATGTGATTAGAATTCGGCATTGTATTTACAGTCAGTTATTAGCAATCCAGAAATAGCAAGGTAATGATCAGAATGAGTGGGCAAAATATTTCAAATAAAATAAAAAACCAAAAAATCCCTAAAAAATCCAGCCCTCCTTAAACTCCATCTCAGAATTCAATTGACCCTAAATAACAAAATCAGTGAGACAGACTTCTCATCTTCATAAGGAAACTGCACCTGATATTAATTAAAAAAAAAAATTATAAAAGCAAAAAACCCCACATAATTGCCATGCTTTTAAACAGTGATGATATTAGCCTCATCTAAAGCAAACAGTACTTCATGGTGCAAGAGATATGATTGCAGGTAGTGTTGTTGTTTAAAAATGTGATTTGGATACAGCCAACACTATACTTAGGCATAAAGACTTTCCTGATAGCATAGAAAACACATTCATCAAACTAACAAAAAGAAAGCACAACTGACTTGAACTTTCATCTACACAAAAAACTTTAACCTTAAAATTAATACAGAAAAAAACAACTATTGCAAGAAACACTGAACAACTTTTGTTTTATTTTTCTAATAACTTCTTGTAAAAAGGAAATTGTGAGGCAAAGTTAGTAACAGCCATCAAAAAGAAGACAACACAAACCAGTTCTGTACATTCTGGCATCATGCTAAACCCCAGAACAAGCAAGCAACAGTAACCCCCATTCTCCCTGGGAAAAGAAACCAATAAAATAAGTGTCATAAGGGAAAAAACTTGATGTTAGGAGCATGCGTTTGTGCAAGTGACCCAAAAAAACCCCCCAAAACAAAAAAAACCCACCCAAAACCTGAAGAAAACTAAAGAAAAAAATAAAAGGAGGCTACAAGCAAACAAGATAAAAAAAAAAAACTGCAAACCAAACACACACTGCTTTTCTGGCCAGTTAAAAACTACTCACATGTTCAGTAGTATCATCATATTCCCACTGTTTGAGAGTAAACAATGTTGGAAGGAAAAATAAAAGAAATGAAGAGATTTGTAACCTGGTTAAAGTAATGTTTTCTTCTTAAGAGTAAAATAAACATGAAAGATGTCTGGAAAAATCATGTACAATTTGAATGAATCTTGTAGAATGATATAGAATTTGGTTATAAAATCAGGCCAGACACTTTTAATTTGATTTCTGCTCTCCCTAAAAAGCAGCCACTTGAGAGACGAAAGAAGTAACGAATCCTTTTGTACAATGTAGTAATATTTTGTAATGGATTATACTAGCAAAATCTACCAAGGCAGAATTAAAGGCCACCTGGTTTAGTTAATCATGTTACTAGGCTATGTGCTCAAGTATCCTAAATGAATTCAATGCCTTGTTTAAATTAATAGCAAGATTTTTTAGTTTTGAAACTTAACCTCACTGATCTTTTACCATCACAGTCTTCATACCCTGATCACATGTACCATAGAAGCATGATAGGCAGGAATGAGTGCCAGGAGGAAAAAGGAGGTGACTATCCAGAGTGAACCAATGGCAAACAGGCAGGTCAAATTCAAACTTGGCAAAAATGCAATACTATTCTTGCCTTTATGGTATTTGGGCTCCAATACCTTATCTAGTCTCCCGTTTCTGACCTTCTGGTAATTAAAAATAATTTAAACTACCACAACACAGAGGTTGAGAGTGAAAAATCTGTGCAAGGAAGAGGAGAACCAGAGTCCAGCAGCATCTCCTTTTCCTTTTCCATCTCCCCTCCCTTTTCTCTTTCCCATCCCAACTCCCCACCTGTTTCCATCCCTCTGCTGAATTTAAGCTGTAAGGACACTGTGCTTTGCAAAATACGTAAGTAAGTACATAGAGAGAGATAGGCAGACTGGCAGGTAAAACTGCAACTAAGATCTCCAAGGACAGAGACAATACTTTGAGAATGGGGTGATCAGCAAAACGCACTTGTAGGAGACCTGTGCTCAGAAAAGGTATCTGCACAGATGAAATTTAGAACTCAGACTGGAAGAAGAAACTAAAGAAGCCCAAATCCATTTATTTATTCGCATAAAATGCTTAAGAGGCAAACAAGTCTTTGCTTTATGCTAGGTTAATAATTGCTTATATTTCCAGTCATTCCAGTCATAAATTGAGACCTAGCAGTGAGAGGTGATTCCTCGAGTACCAGGACCTTTGGGAATCTTCAGTTTTATAGAGCACTAGTGTATTCCAATCTGTAAAATCCTCTTTTAGAAGTTTTTTAAACTTGATGTGATCAGGCTTTTGTTTTCAAAACAATCTATAAAACACATGGGAAATATTTCAATATAAGTAACCCCGTACCTATCTAAAATAAGCTTCTCATTTTATTGCACAGTTATTGATATGAATAATGCCAAGTAGAAATATCTTGGTTATTGCTAAGGTTGCACTAATAAAGCCATTTCCTGTGAAATGTGTGGCGAGGTGGATCCATGCTAATGACAAAAACACTGTAATAATGGGCTAACACAGGCTTCTAAGGACTCTATGTTCTCCACTGAAACAAAAAAAATACTGGGAGGTGGATAAGGCAGTGTACAGTTTGCTACATTGACTGTGACCTGGCTCAGATCTCCCTGATGCTTTAAAACTTCTGGGCATAGGTACAGGGTGAAGTTTCCAAATTTGAAGGAGCCATGAGTACGACGCAGCTTAGTGTTTAGTTGCACACCTATACAGAAAAGGATGCCCAAGTTTGACCCAAGAACCTTTATATGTGAGTATTCTGAAGAAAAGTTGCTACAACGGAGATAAAAAATGTTAGCTGGTAGGCTGAAATATAGAAAGGAAAAAAAAAAAAAAGGCAGTTCTGGATAGCTGTCTGGTATACTGAATGTTTTCACTGTGTCCTTGAAAAGAACATAAAATGCCCTAATTACCTGTGCATCAGCCAGCATGATGTCCTTCAGCGCAGGCTGACCCTTTGGCTCTCCATTTTCCATCCTCACGTAGTGGACCTGGTATCCTCGGATTTGACCATGCTGCTTATTGGGTACAGGTGAGCGCCATGACACTTTAACAGCAGTAGAGTTGACAGCCTCTACCTCGACTTTGCGAGGAGGACCACTAGGAACTGGAACAACATCATTGGACAGAAGAGAATTACAGGCACCTGTCCCACCCATGTCTTTTGCTTTATTTTTTTTAGAAGGGCAGACTCACTATGTTTTCTTTGAAGAATACAAATTGTTCAACAAATGAAAATGCTCAACCACTCTGCTCTACATTTCAGTGAAAAGATCAAAAAACATGACTGATGCAAAAAATGGAAGAAAAAAGAGTATTAGAGAAATAGAAAAACATGTAAAAATGTACAAAAGCCAAGGAAGATGCTTTGAGATTCAAAGCATTATAATACAAAGAGATATTTTAATCATTGAAATAATACTACTACTAGTAATAAAACCAGAAAAGATTTAAAAAAAAATCCCTTTTTTTTTTCTTTTTTGCTAAGTTCTTTGTTTCAGGTTTGTTTGGTTTTTTTTTTTCCAGTAGTATAAAAAGGAGGCTGATAATAGGGCTTTCTTCTGTCACTTTCAAGTATGGAAGAAAAGAAAATGTGTGGAGCATCAGTTTTCCAAGATCAAATACAAAATTAAAAAAAAAAAACCAAAAAACAAACAACCCAAAAAAACCCAAATCAAAAAGCACAACATGGAACAAGAAAGCAGTTTAAAAACAAAAAACGAAAAACCAAACCTGAAAAAAAGTTCATAGACATAAGTGTTTAAAAATAACAATGACTGTAAAATCAAGGAAAAGGCAGAAAGATTTTTCCCCTGAGAGTTATTTTTATGTTAAAGGAGGAGCAAGAAGGGTATGTACGGGCTCAAAGTGGCAGCAGATTCATGTCACTCACAGAAAGGTACTTTCTGTTAAAAAAAATTAAAATACCAAATATAAAAATGGTGCAGAAAGGACAAGTCTTTGACTAAAAAGCTCAAAGGGTGACATTTTCTGTGATTTGGGAAAAAAGAGTAGCAGAAAAAAATACTGTTAGGCTATACAAAAGACAGCAGATCGACAGAGAGTCATAGAGGTGCAAACTGATGTAGTGGAGGCAACATACCATCTTCATCTGTCCGAATCAATACTGCTAAGCTCTCTGGGCCAGGTCCAACATCAGTGTGGGCAGTCACAGAGATCCGGTACTCAGTCCATTTTTCCAGCTGTTCCAAAAGGTACTGGGTACTGTCCGAGGAAATTCCCAAAATTTCATGGGGCTTGACATCTTCTCCATCAATCCCAATGTACTTGATGGAGTATTCAGTGATAATGCCGTTCTGTTTTTCCACCGGTGGAGGTTTCCAACTTACCAAAATGCTAGTGGAGCTGGGGCTTGTGCAACTAATGTCTTGAGGAGGAGCTGATGGCTCTAATTTCAGTAGTGGGTTAAAGGAGGATTTGAGTGAAAGGATAGGAGTGATTGAAAGAAATGAACAAAAGAAAAAATAAAAATAAATAAAAGACAACAAAATGAAAATAAAAAATAAACCAAAAAAAGTAAAAACTTAAAAAAGCAAAACGTCAGACAATCATATGTACCTTGGCTTATTAACATGAGGAAACTGAAAATGAATAGACCAACTAAATGGTGAAAAAGGATGTAGGGGAAATACATGAAAATGAAACCTCAAAATAATATTACCTACCTGTAATTAAAATTCTTCTTGAAATAAAAGAAAAAGGTGACACTGCTATGACTACTGATCTATCCTTAGAATCATTGCAATTACTGCAAGCAGTAACAGTTTAAATGACGTGACATGTATTTACTTTAAAATTTGGACACATCCCCTTCAAGTGGGTTTACTTTCTTTGAGAAAAATTATCTTTTTACAGAACTCCTAAAAACTTGCAATAATTGCTAGAAATTTCTCCATAAATTGCCATTTTTGTAGCCTCCCCACTCTTATAAACAAATTATTATTTTTTCAGTTTTTTGTTGGTTTTTTTTTTTTTTTTTTTATAACTGAGTCTGCCTGGCCCAAGTTAACCACAAATTACATTTAAATGGGAAGTGTTTGCCCGAAACATTTATTGTAGCCAACATACTAGGAGCATGCAGTCAACAGAAGACAAAGAAAGTCTTAGTCAAAGATTTACCTACCAGGAAAAAGTGACAGGCTTGTTGATTCTGACTGTAACTTGTACTTACCCTATATCAGCTGTCAGTTTTTTTTTTTTAACTCCTCTTGGAAACACCTTTGCTAGCAAAGAATTAAATCCTACCAGTAATGTAGGTAATTTCTATGGGGAAAAAAAAAAAAACAACAACTACCCCCAAACAATGTGTGAAGAAAGCGAGTATTCCTTACAAGGAGACTTCACAAGCTCAGCACATCAGAACGGTGAGAGATTCTGGCTTTGTTTCGTCTCTTGTCACCAGCACCAATCTTCCAGAGCAAAAGTGCTCACCTTTACTGATTTTTACTTGAAAGAGTCTGTTAGCATATTTACCTTTTCCGGGCTCCAGAGCATTTAAGCATGTATGTCATTCCATTGCTTTCAGTGAGGCAATTCAACTGAAAGTTAGGTATGCATTTATGTGCTTAAATGTACTTTGACTTAGCAAAATCTATGCTTACTAACTGAGATCATTCAGAGCACCAAAAAAGGAGCCATAGTTCAAATTCACTGGCAGAAGCAGTGTATGTGGACTTCTTTCCTATTTCTGCCTTCTCTCTTGTAAAGAAAATATAAATTTGGGGTGCGAGATCTTTATGGTGCTTCTGTTTTGGTTTTTTAGTCTACTATTTTCTTCTCATTTCTTAAGGGAAAAAAGAAACAGATGGATTTCTGGTACTTACACTAGGCACATCAAATAAAATTAAAGCAACAGAGAAGGGGTAGGACCCTGCTGTGACCTATTGCATTTACACATGTATCTCTTGGTTCCCTATGGCTCTTCTACAGGGATCAATGGCTTTTTACTCAGTATGATACACTGTTCTTTGGAAAGGAAAACAGGAGGGAATGTACCAGCATTTCAACTAAGTAGAGGAGGTGGATGGGGGGACAGATGAGAATTATCACATTTGGGTTTTATTTTTAAGGCTAATTCAGTAATCAAGTAGTCAAAACATGTTGGTCCCCTTCTACCATCAACTTGCGCAGGAAGTAAAATACAAGTAAAATGTTCCTTAAGGGCCTTATATGTAAAGAAATAAATCCCTGTAGCATATTCCTCTGAAACCAAGATGAAAGGCAATAGTGCATTCTTGTGAATATTGAGCGTAAAGCCACAGAAGTTTATTAATTTTTAATCCATTATACTCTGAAAATGCAAAGTATTGCATTTATGTAACCAAGAATAATCTGTAGGCTACTTGTGTAACCAGTTTTATCAATGTATATACTTTTTTTCTTAAAATACGTAATTTTTGCAAAAAAGATTTTGTGGTCTTTTCAGCAAATAGTCAGGGTCTGCCCACTGAAATTAATTGGATTTTCCTACTATCTGAAAACGTAAGGCTGAAAAAAGCATAGCATATTCTTATATTCAAGAAGGGGAAAATGGCAATGTACTTATATGTGGAACATGCAACCTTGACCCTTAGATGTTTATTTTGTATGCATAGTCTAAGCAACTTTCACCCAGTATAAGAGAATGAGCATTCTAAATAGCTGAAATGGCTCCCAGAACACATAAATACCTTTTTCTTCATCACATTATTGATTCTGGATTACTAAAATTAAAAGATGCCTTGGCACTCCCTCTAAAACTAGCCTTGTGTTATATAATCGTCTTTTGTGCTTATTCCAAATGCCTTAGAAATGCTTCAGAAGCACATTTAGCTTTGGTTAAAGGTCTGTATCACTGCATCTCCAGTCACATTAATTACTATTAATACAGAACACTAACAAAGAATGATGGTGTAATCACATCTGTCATGAATGCAAATTAAAAAGCTTCATGTCAATTGAGAATTGGAATTGCCTGTTTTGAATAATATTACTTTAAGAAAAGGGCATTTAATTTAAAACAAATAGAAACATAATTGCACTAAGTTTTAAAATTACACAGAGTAATACAAACCATCAGGAAAGCATAACTTAGCAGGCAAGAGTAGAACTTCTGAACATCATCCTTGAATATCTGATTGTTTATTTAAGTCTAAGTTTAAATATTTTAAAATGTATATATAAATCCCTGACAAATGTATGCATCTCATTTGCAGACAAATGTGATGAGCCTCATGACCTCTTTTCCGTAAGTATACAGTGAGAAAACAATTTTTGTACTGGGGTGAAAAATGACTGACCATCATAAAAAGCCATCATTAAAAAAATCTAACTTAAAAATGGAATGATTAGCTACTATAGAAGAAATTTATAGTAGAGTTTGAAATATTCAACCTGACCCACTCTAGAAATATTTTGCATGTCAGGGAGACCCTTCAGGAACCTAGTATCACAGGAAATTTGCAGACTGGGCAGGTGCAATTTTACGGGAGGAGGGCTATTATTAATGTACATCTATTCCATGATAAAACATTTTACCTCTATTATAATATAAAATAAAATGTTATTATGACAGCATAATATTACCTCTACGACACCGGTTTACAGAGTTTTTTTCTAAACTATGTAAGAGACACTCATGTATTAAGTTGATCACAATACACCCACAAAAATACATATTTTAAGCATTCTTTTGCTGTATTAAGCACTGTGAATGCTGTATTTTTATAATTTTGGCTTCTCTATTGCTGCCTCTCTGGACTACTGAGATTAATCTCTTTGAGAAATACAAGACAAGGGAATAAAGTTAGCAAAGAAAGGCACCTACTTGACTGCATGGTTCTTGCTGAGATTTCTGCTGTTGAAGCACCCAGGCCTTGTGGAGACCGTGCAGCTAGACGGAATAAGTACAAGCTGTTTGGCCTTAAGCCTTGCAGGCGATAAGATGTAGTGGGTTCTGTGGAAACCCGTTGCTAAAGGTAGGTAACAAGAGAATTTCTTGATTAATATTCAGAGACTCTGAATTCCATATGTTGCCTATAGAAGATATGTTTTTATAACGCAATTGAAAAAATATTAAATTCAAGAAAATAAATCAGAACACAACCAAAATAAACCAAAACAAAAATGAATACATTACTTTTGAGAAACACACATTAAGGAACAATATTTTTTAAAGTCGACAGCTTAATGGGTGAAACTCAGAGTCAGAAACACTGTTTGACTTCTTGAGGAAGTAATAGCTGCGTATAAAGTATAGACAATGACACATGAACAAAGCCTTACCTATAGTTAGCTCTTATGATACTTAACTAGAGGGTTTAATAATGTATGTAATCTTGAGTTTAACCTTGTAGTTTAATTTGTGTTCAAATTAAAAGGAAGCAAATTCTTCTAAAGTGTAACTTGTTAAGCAGGGGCCTGCATCCTATTTGGAGATGAAATACAAGTCTGGTCCTCTTCCACAAAATAAGCTTATGCACTCACAGTGTATGTGTGAAGCCACCGTAAACATAAGCTCAGCTGAAGCATCAACAATGAGTTGATGATGCAGGAGAAATCAATGAGGTCGACACTCTCCTGCTGCCTTCTCAGACAGCCAGCTTCTTTCTTATATCTGGGACACCTGGCAATATCACATCGTTTCTATATCAGAAGAACAGTTTATTCTAAATTCTATGGTACTAATCCCACAGAGGTCCTCAAAGTGAAAATTCTTTAAGAAATAATGGTACAGAAAAAGTCCACAGCTTTACCTTTAGAAAAAAAGCATATTCTGTTCTCAAATATTGATAGACTAGAGAAGGTTCAGAACTCTCTTACGTGGTGGCAAAGCTAAACAAAAATTCTCTAAGGCTGAAAATAGATTTCAAAGTCGAAGTGTAAGTGCAAAAAATCTTAAAGAATCCTTAACATGCCCAAAACCACTTTCCGCTTCCAAGCATTTGGAGAGGAACAAGCCTGGAGAGACAGGATCAATGTGTGAAACTGGATGCAACTTCTGTGGACAACTTGTTATCCACAATTAAAAAGTTCCCACTGGCTGGTAACCATCAACAGCATTTTCCAGTGTTTACACACTCTCACTCTGTTGTTACACTGACTGCTGGGTTTAACAATCTGTTAAACATCAAGGTATTTGTACTAAAGGAAGTACCACTGCAGCATTTTATGTCTGACTCATTAAGCAGTATTTAAAAGATGTATAATCTTTTCACTTACCTCCTCCCCATGCTCCCCATCTTTGTAAACCAGTTCATAGCTGGAAATAGTATCAGAGCGTGGAGGTGTCCAGGAAAGTAGTATGCTTGTTTCAGACTCAGGTTCTGCTTTGAAGTTCAATGGCTGGCCAGGCACTAAAGAAAAAGTTGAGCAGTGTTGCCAAGGGTTTATTTGGCTAGTTCAACACTTATCTTTCAAACCTTTTAAACTACTGTCCGAATATTTCACACAATACTACTTCTATTGAACTTACCGAACTTAAACAAATTGATTAACTGTATTATGACATAAATTAATCTGAGCTCAGAGAAAGAATGATATATTTAATTCGCATATTACAAATTATCAAGGATTTTAAATAAATGCTTTGCAGTGTAAATACTGCACACAGAACTGAAATTAAATTGAACAGAAGCTTGGTGTTGGAATACTGGCAACCTAATAACCTATGTGTGAAATGGCAAATATAAACATGTATGTATGCGTGTGTACAAGGGGAAATGCTATTATTACAAGAAATTGGCTGGAATAGTCCAGAAAAAAATGTTAAAACAATTACAGGCATTTCCAAATCTGAAAAAGGTTTGCTCAGTTTATAAATAACTAAGATATGAAACACATCCTGCTCTTTAAGAAGACACCTAAATACTGAATACTTTTGTAACCTGAAGCAGTTATAACATACTGAAGAGATCTTTAGTAATGTTCTCATTCAGTGACAAATTTCTACCCTTCTAATGACTGGTATTTTTACCAACATAGTTGAGCTTCTAGTAACAACACTTTCTGATCACAAGAACTGAAAACACAACTTTGATTCCAGTAGTCAAGAACATTCTTGTGTAATGGTCACAGAATTATCCAGACTAAATGCTACACTCATCCACTTCTGCAAATACAGCAAATAATAAGGTTGACTGAGGAAAGACACCAAAATATAACCCTGTCATTGGAAGGCATACAGTAATTTTGGCACCCAATTTCTAAAGCATTACTGTCAGTTAATAGTGCTGTTGATAAGACATGAAACAGTCTTCCACAGCACTTCTAGCTTTTCAGGAAAACAATGTGACATGCTTTTGTTTTTTAAGAAAAAATAAAATGAGATGCAGTTCTTAGCACATACTGAGAACAGGTGTGACAAGTAGGATGTGACAATAGTGCTCATTTTACAATTATTTTTCAGGGTAGAATTTTATTATAGATTTACAGGTATTTTTCTTTTGTACAGTAAAAGACCTAAAAATATTATGGAGAAAATGGTAAAAATAATTTGTGATTGTAATTACTATCTTCCCCAGACTTCTACAGAACGTCACTCTGAGGATAACACTGCCCTCACGCATACTGGTGCAGGTTTGATATCTAACCTTTAAACAGACAGATAACTTGTCAACACTAGGTGCATAACAAAGCTCCTCTGTGGAGGTTGCAATTCCCTAGCATTAGCTAGGGTGAAACCCATACCTAGAGCAAAACTCAACCAGTTCAATTATGAATCAGTTTTGCAAATGACAATAGAAAGATCAAGAGAATTTATAATCAGTTGGGAACTGAAAGGGACCAAGAGTTCATGCTTCTGCCTGCTCCAGAAGAAGCATGAAGCTCTACAGAGAAGCTCTTACAATTGAAGAGTTAATGTGCTGTGGAGTTTTTGTTTTGTAAAACATTAGTTGTACTTTTTGAAGTACCAAACTCTCATAGAATGCTTTCAACCCTTGCCTTGGAAGTCCATTTCCATGGAGAGTAGTACTATGAAGTTTCAGAGACAAGAGGTTTCCCTGTTCATGTGTTAATGAAAACATTTGAAATGAATGGCAAAGTAGCTAGTTTGTTACAAAACAGAAACGTATTCAGCTACAGACTCCCTTCCTCTGAATTTCTAATCTTCTTTCACAATAAGAACTCCAGAAGCAGGAACTCATTTCCCTTAAGCTAAGGCTCTGTTTACATGCCCTGCAAGTCAGATACCTGACATTCTCATTACTGTCTTTCTCTGAATGTTCAAAACATTAGCCTTTTATAGCTGTAATGATCCTTAGTCTCCAAACTACTGCCAATTCTCGGTTTAAAGTTAGCAATATGTTTTATGTTGTAAGTTCTTGTTTAAAGCAGCACATTTACAGGTACACATTCGTTTCCCAGAATAATTTTTCTTTCTCTCTTTCTCCAATAATCCATTGGCCAATAGACCTCGTGTAGCTTTCATTCTCCTCTCCTTCTACCAAAGCTCGGAATGAAAACAAGATTCTCTTAATACCTTCAGTAGCTATCATCTCTTTGCACATTAAAAACCAAACCACCCAAACCAAACCCAGACATTCCGTTTAAAGTTCAAGAATTTTCTTTGCTGAAGTGTGCTGCCCAGAGAGCATGCGTACTTCTGACCAGTTTAAGCAAAGAAAGGAAATATGAGAACATACGTAAGAAGTGTGTCCTGGGTAGATAAATGGAGACAAACCAACAGGGCTTTTGTTTTCTAGTGCAGTAAAGGAAAAGGACAAGAAGTATCACACTAAAGCTTATAGTGGTATTTCTTTATTTTAAAATTGGTGTTAGTAAGTCAATTCACCTAAATAATATACTGGTCCTGACTCCATCCTCAGCAGAATCAAAACCTTTGACAGGAAGTGCAGGATAAGGACTTTCTTAGGTATAGCTTTTGGAATTGATCGTCCCTTATTCAAAGGGCTCAGATCTACAGCTGTTTTCAGCCTAACTTCTTAAAATGGTGTCTTTTACAATCAAGAAAACACTGCTGAAAACAACTGGGCCATAGAACATTTTTCCTTGAAATGCTTAAGCAGAATACTGAAACGCAAATCTGAACTTAGAAGTTGTGGGTTTTTTTAATGTATGGTTGTCTGAAAAATGCTTCCTTCTCTTCTCCTCAAACTACATGTTCCTAGTTAATATTTTAATTAGAAACCGTATTTTCCCTATCAGCAGCATTTTGATTAACCTGCAAAGTGAGAAGCCTCTCATACAGCCAATTCAATAGAACAATTTGGCTGTATTAAGAAACAAACAAACAAACAAACTTTTTAAAAAACAAATTATTCGTTTTTTATAATCTCTCTCCAAAGATCAGAATAAACATAAGGGAGGAAAGCTCTGAAGGAAACAAAGCTAACAGAGTTTGTAAGTCAGAGCTGTTAATCAGATTTTGTTGTATATATACTCTAATATCCCCAAAGTAAGCATAAGGGTTAAGCTACATATTTAGAATGCTAGGCTCATTTGTTTCAAAAAAGGTAAATCAGTCAAATGTAATCACCATCCCATTCCTTTTTTTACTCTTTTACATGTGTTTCTACTAAATCCATTTCTGCTGTTTTTAAATGGGACTTCATAATTCAGTATATATTTTTGCATGAGTTGCAGCTTGAGAGAGACTTAGACCAATCATATTCAGATTTAGATTATAGCAAATCTGGAAGAGAAGGGCAAGAAGGGCATTTTATTCTGCAGTGTTCACTGAAGAGAAACTGCTGGGTAGAAAGATGGGAGAATTGTAGTTTTTAAACATACCCTGAACTGGAGAACTGCACTAGATTTTCTTAGCTATTTTTCTTGTTTATGACTTAAAATGTTCATATTCAAGCAAAAGTATCAGTGCTAAAAAAACGCCTCCTATACCCCACATTTTCATGTTTTCTTTTGATTTTTAACAATCGTAAATAAACAATCTCAAATTGACTCTGTTACAAAGTTGAAAACATGTATTGTGGATCTCTCCTGCACTGTTAGCGCTATCATAATTTCTTCAGATTGCCACAGTAATCGTCAAAAACAGATGGGCATGTTTAATGGAACATTCTAGAAAGGTTTTAATACACTGAGCTTTTCTGAAGTGACCTCAGCATGTAATTTAACTTGGGGTAGTCCAGCCAGTCCTCAGTGTTCATTATTTCGATTGCTTCATCTTTCTCTGGGGAAGCCACTAACAAACTCTTGCTAATCTAAAAGGTTTACGACTTTAAATGAAAACACAGATGAGGAGTACGCTAAACCATCTTTTTTAAAAACACTTTGCACACGGATTCAAAAATCAGATATCAATATGTAAGCTACTCCCTGAAAAAGGTTACAATTGCCAAAATTAAACTATGGTGTACATATTTACATTTGCATGTACACACAGACATATTTCAATGCACCACCAGATGACCTAAAAACATTAATTTAATAACTCCTCAGGTGACGTACTGCAAAAAGTAATAGGTAACACACAGCCCTTTGTGTAACACAACACTTAGAAAGGTTCCAGGACAGTATCTCAATTTCTGTTCTTTATTAAATGCATATTGGTAAAACACAGAAGTAAAAAGTGAATGAAACAGAACTGTCTTCAGTTACATTGTAGAGATACGTTTCTTAAGAATTTGAGGGGTACTAAATTCTCCAACGGGAAACTTCCCAGTACTAAAAAATTCAGGAGGTATTATATAATATTTCTAGGCAATCACTGACCTGCAGTAATACTTCATACGGCTTTCTCTACATGTCTAGACAAAGGTTCTTTTTATTTCTTATTGCTACAATAAAACACCTTCTGCAGTGTAGATCCACCAGAGCTTCTCGCTTTTGATTTCATAAAAATTCTCTGCAATGTTTTTCACTATGCTTGCTTGTCCTTTGCTAATAAAACTAATTCATGGACCTAAAACTCCTGTACAGAAACAAAACAACCTAACTGCAGACATAAAACAAGAGAATGGTGACCTTGTGGTATACATTTTGTAGGGGCAGTTTGGACTTGATTTATAAATCCAAGTGTACAGAACTGCTAGCTTGAACCTACACGAAGGTAGGTGAGTTTTTTTAATGCTTTCATGGTTTTTTGTGTTTTCAGAACCTTACTAACTATTTGAATACACATGCAGTACACATACCTTTTAAATTTCCAAAAGCAAGATTCACTAGAGTGATGTAGCATCAGGGAACCACATGTGACCTAAACTAAACCCACCAACACGGGTAACTCCTCAAAGAAAGCTGTGAAGAACTACTTGAGAAACACTTTTGGTGCACAGAGCACTGTCAAATAGCAGCTTTAACATTTGGCTGCCTCCAGGATGAAGGTCTCCCTGAGACTTTAGTTAAACTTCAGTTAAACTTACGGAGGGAAAAAAGAAAAAAACTTCTTGATAAAAAAAGAAATGAAAGTGTGAGGGGATGTTTTCCACTCTTCAGTGCCAACTTGCACTGTAGAATTTAGAAAAGGTTATCTGCAAAAACTGCCTGAATAAACTGGCTATCCTTGAGAGCAAGTTTTTTTCAACATTTTAAACTCCAATTCTTTCTCTGCAAAATTTTTTCATGTATTTCATTTTTTGACAAAAATTCTGTTCATTGATAGCTTACCTCCTGTTTGAGTGATGACTTGAATGTCACTAGAAAGTGGTCCATCCCCAACAGAAGTAAAAGCAAGAACCTTCACAGAGTATGTTTTCTGGGGTATCAGATTCCCAATAGTGGTAATATGGCTGTCAGCCACATTGTGCTTCATCCAACTGTTGACATGTTGAGTGGGGTCCATGGTGTAATAAACTCTGTAACCTTGTATTTGCCCATTAGGTTCCTCAGGTTCTTCCCACTGTACCAAAATGGTGGTAGAGCTCAACATACGGGCTTGCACATTGCGCGGTGCACTTGAAGGTGCTTGTTCTGAAGTCCTTGTTGACACCGGATCACTGGGTGGCCCTCGCCCAATGTTATTTACAGCAACTACCCGAAATTCATACTCTGAATACGGGCTTAGGCCAGCCACGCTATAGCGTGTTGTGGCCACCCCATCAATTTCTTTATACGGCTCCTCAGAGTTTTTGGGTTTGTGTTGGATGATGTAGTAAGAAACTGGCTCAGGGTTTCCAGAATCCCAGGTCAATGTTATGCTTGTCGCTGTGCTCTCTGTCACCACAGGTGTCCCAGGAGGTTTGGGTAAGGCTAAAGATAAATGCCAAAAAATACAGTTAGCACTATGTAACAATAGACATTAATTATTAGAAGATGTAGCTTAAAATCCAAAAGAAACAACAACAATAAAAACAAAACAGGAAGACTGGAATGGAAAGAAGGTGTGATCTGTTCAAAGCAAGCTTCTGGCAATTACGATTTACCCCAGAAACCTATCAGAAAATCTTCAAGTTTTGTAGTATAAGGTTTATTTGATAAAAATTAATAATACTGACTTTTGGAATAGTAAACGTATGCAGAAGAGAAATCTCAGAGACAGACAGTGCACCATTCTAGTTTAATTTTTGAAACCTCTAGTTTCCAATTACTTAGTGAGCATTATACTTGGACACCCAGCAACTCTGAAATTCAAATGACTGTTTTTTAAAGACTCTTGCTGTTGACAACTATATGCAAGTCTACAAGATCCTTTATTTACTTGAAATGAAGACTGGGAGCTAGACACAGGAGAAAAATGGAACATTATGATTAACTTATTTACTAGTATTACCGCTGTCTGAATCTGAATTTTGTCTTATACCAGTGATCAGCTGGAATATTTACCCTCTTGATTTAAGAGGGTAAGAGGCATTTATCAGAATATGGCAATGAATGAAAGAAAATACTAGAATGTCCAAATATAGGTGCTTGGGATATACCTTTGACAGTTATCTGCGCTATTGCTTCTATAACACCAAGGGTAGACATAGCAACGCAAGTATAGTTTGCAGACTGCCTGACATCATTAAGCTCAAGGACGTTCCTCCCTATTGGCATATCATCCTCAGGTGTCAAATCTTCTGCTCCTAGCATCCATTTCACATATGGCATTGGTGACCCCACCGCAACACATGTGATATTTACACTCCCGCCAGGCATGATCTCATGATTGGTGGGGGGGATAGAGAACCTTGGTGGGACCCGTCGAACTGGAACAAAACACAAAAAAAGGTAATAACATATACAAAAAAAGAAACTGAGTCTTGCATACAGACTACATGCAGTGTACAGACACAATTTAATGTTTCAGTGTGTTACTTCTGATCTGCCAGAAAATACGTATAAAAGAAATATGAGACTAAACAACAATTTTGTCTGCACACAATGTGAATTATTCTTTATTTACTTGAGGATATTATTAGGCACATTCATACATAGGCTGATTCAGTCCTATTAGGGCCCCATATTTAACTAACTACATACTAACGATACACAAACACCATGCAAAAGATATACACACGCGCGCACGCGCACACACATGTGCACGTATATATATATGCATTTTATATGTCCATACATATATATCTGTGCACAGAAGAAAACTGGAAGGTCAACAGCATGCTTGAGTTGATTACCCAAACCAACTTCAATGCTGTGTGCTTCCAGCTTATGTGAGTAAATGTGCTAGGCCACATTGTCACATCACAGTCCTGGAACACATTGCCTACAGTACATTGAAAGTGCAATTTCATTTGCTTTCAGACTCAAAGTAGATGCAGTCTCAAGACCTCACACTAACACTGAAACAAACATAGAAAAAAATATAATTACACACAGATACAAATATATATATACACATATATACATTTATATACACATATACATATATATAAATATATATATAGTCACGGAAAGAAACTAGGCAAAGCCAGTACAAAGTACTGGATTTGGTCATGCAGGCAAGCAAATGACAGAATCAACAGAGAATCATGCTTAGGGAAATGTCTGCTTAAAAACTGCAGAAAGAAGAAGAACTCAAAAAGAAAACATATTGAGTGAGTAAATAAAACTTGAAAGAGATGGGGATAGGATAGGCTGACAGATACAGGAGTTTAAGAGAAGCATAGAGTTCGAGGGAGAAGGAAATTAGGTTGAGTTTAGGTGGTTAAAAAGCAACTGTTAGGAAGGGCCACTGGGAAAATAGCAAAACATTTAACATTCAGGATCCCACTACAGTCACAGTTAAGGGAAAGTAAAATAAGCTATAAGGATCGATAATATTAGACATTTCTGTATTGATAGCAAAGGGTCGGCACCCTTAAACACATAGCAGGACATTGCACTACAAAGTAGTTAATATTTAAGCAAACACAACACCGAGAAAATTACCAGGCAATAACAGATCAGTGTTCCTGCTTCAAATATTCTCAGTGGTGTGCACATGTGTGGGGGAGGTGGAAGAGAGAGAGGTAGCTGAGAGAGGTAGGTTTGTATTTAGGCCTTTCATTGGACAGTGTACTCAAAACTGTATTTATTTGGGTTTAATACAGACTAATCATTAAGACAATTTTAATTCGGAAAAAAAAAAAAAAAAAAAAAAATAAAAGACTATGAGTGAGTTTTTTTAAAAAAAATAATGAAAACTGTATTAGTCTGAAACCTTTCCGCTGGGTTTGATTAAATTTCTGTGATCTTCTATGGATTCAGAAGGGGCTTACTGCAATGGCCTCATGAGTGAATGACAGGCAGAAGGGGAACAAGCAGAGAGCAAAACATCTGTAAGCGGCCAGTTCACAGAGGCCACACAAAGCAAGCGGCAGGCAATGAGGAATTTCTCGTGTAGAACACAATCCTTATAGACAAAGGAGAGTTTAGTCTTCATGCGCGGGCTGTTTAGAGAAGCAACTATTGAAACCGTTTCTTGAAAAGCAGGCACCAGTATAAACAAGAAATTAAAAGGGAAGAAAAAGCAGGAACACTGACCAAGTTTACTAGACGTTAGTGTTAAAGCTAAATAGGTTGCCATGCATCCAGGTTCATTCTCTCTCACCATGCACAACAGTTAGATACCAGCACTCATCAAAAGCCATGACCAGAGCATTCTTCGCTTAAACATAACATTAACTTAAAAAATGCCACAATGCAGCTACATTCATTTCATTTGTATTCTTTGTTATTGGTTTAATTAATAGTTTTGTAAGGTGGGTAAAAAGTAAAAACACACCAACCTTCTCGCAGCTCTGAGGGATGTAGGGGGTTTGATGCAGAACACAATGAAATGAGGAAAGGAGAAAAACAAGGGAAACACAGAGAGAGTAAAAAGGCCATATCAAGGCTTTCAACTGCTACTTGAACATCTCTACTTGCTCTAATTTAACCTTCCTACCTCATCTTGAAAAGTTAGCATTTTCCACAGCTACAATGGTGTTAGAAACAATAACTAGCATAATTTTGAAATTTTCCTTTGGATAAAAAGGTATACATGCCTCATGCAGTACAGGAAAGTCAGTATGTTGGAGGAGAAGAGAAAGAAAAAAAAAAGATCAAATAACTTTCTATGGATGTCATAACTATGAAATGTTTTCCTTCTTTTTTTTTTTTTTTTTTTTTTTAATTAGCCAAAAAGAGACACACCATACAAAAACACATCAGGTTGATTGAAAAATCAGCTCTAAAAAAAATTTCAAAATCAAGCTAGGTATTTTTGGTAAGGTCTTCCACCCTACAGTAAAGTTTCCAGCTGCTTATGTTTTTAGTCCTATTTCCCCCCACCCATCCCCTTATACTGTAGACACACACACACACATATATATATGTATACACATATGTATGTATGTATGTTATAGGCTTTGTTGTACAGAAAGCTACATCAACCAGCCATTCGAAATACTGCCACAAACAAAGCACTTTTTTCTAGTAGAACCAAAGGAATATTTTCATATATTAAAAAATTTTTAACCATTTCTACTACTGCACAGAGGAATATAATGGTTTCCTTATTAATCATATCTGTCATATAGATGGGCAATTTCTTCAAAAAATACAGCCAATTGACCACTATTGTTGCAAGGACTATACTTCATTCACAAGTCTTACACTAAAGATACAAAAATATATATAAATATACATACATATATATAAAGAAGAAATAGAAAAGAAGAAAATACAGTTGTGCTCTGCATACATGTTATTATAAAGTTAGAAGCTTTTCCTTTGCAATTACGCAGCAGAGGTCAGGTAGGCATACACATCAATGCCTTGGGGTTACACTCAGCTGATTAGTAGCACACCAAGCAGTCACCTCAGGAGTTTGAAAAGAAAAGCAAAACTAAACAAAACCAAACCAATAAAAGAAAATAAATGCAAAGCACAATATAACTTAATGCAGGAAAAATAGAAGTCAAGATGTAAAAATATAAATATACTTACAAACCTTAACCCACAGGATAGACTGGACTCAAGAGTGCTTTAAAAGAACAAAACAAACCCCAAGCCTTTCTTCTACACTTTTAAATGAATTTTACAGCTGACACATTTACCATGGCATTCTGATTATTACAGCAGTAACGGTATAGATCCTGAGCGTAGCTTAGCCCTGAACCTGAATGAAGAGCAGATGCCAGGCTTATGTCATTCCTACCTCTGACATATAGATTGGCAGGGGCGGAATAGCGTGTACCCGCACTGTTGGTTGCAACACACTCATATTTGCCTTGGTCAGATTCTTCACTCAGTTCAATTTGGAGGGCACCTGTATGAATATAAAATACATTGCCAAAGAGATGGTCAGAGAAGGCTTTTTATATCCATAACAATACACCGCTTAACAATATGAAAAGCTTGTATGCGAAGGTCCGCTCAACGTCGTTCATTTTCTTGCTAAGGTGCACAGACAGAAAATGATGCAATGAAAAAAACAAAGAGATTATTTTTTTCACATCATCAGTGCTAGCACAGGAAAACAATTTACATTTGGCAAAAAAAAAAAAACTCTCTCTAAACAATACTCTTTCCTAAACCATTAAAATGAAGATGGGTGAGACTGCTTCAAGGAAGAATGGCTTTTGAATAAAACAAAAGAGATTAAGTAGTTGGGTCATTAATTTTTTTTAAATTATTATATCATTGTTTCAATCTAGTAACAAAAGTAGCACAAAAGGTGGTACTCGTAAAAAAGGCAGGACAAGCTTCAAGAAATCTTCTGCTGAAGAAAGCCAAAAATGTGCAGCAAGAACAAAAAGGCTGCTTGAAGTGGAAAAAAAAAGAAACTGCATTAGTCATTTATAATTATCAAAATATTCTTTAAAGAAACAAAACTCCCTTAAGACATGCAGATCGGTAAGAAAAGAAAGACAGTTTTCCGCAACTTACAATCTTAAAGTACGTTTGCTGAAAAACAAAGAGTAGTTGAATTAGAAGACAAAAATATAAAAAGCATGGTCTACGCCAACAAGAAAGAACCAACCAACCACTGCTGAGGACCAGAGGAGGGCCCCCCCCAAGACACCCATCAAAATCCACAAGTGGGATTAGCAGTGTGGTGTCACAAAACCCAAGAAAAATACAAAACAAGAATTACAAAAGAAGCAAACAGTTCTGTGAGAGCATCAAAAACCAACAATACACATACCACCAAGAATAGTAAGTCATTAACCTTTCATTTCCAAAGCCTGTAGATTAGAAGATCCAAAAATCCAGAGGTGAGAGAACTCCAAGAAAAAGAAAACAACAAAAAACAATAAAGGGAAAAAAAACATTTCTGTAATTCTTTAGGGGGGGACACATAATTTTCAAATTTACGAAGTTAAAAGAAAAAAAAAGGACTGAAGAAGAACAAAAATAAAAGCATTTTATGAAAGATAAGACAAAAAGAAGATAGTCCATGTTGTCTTCTGCATGTCTGCTACTGTTCTCCAGACCATCTTGCCTTTGGTCCAGGACAAGAACAGCTAAGGAAGAAAAAAAATGATCTTTTTTTGTTCCAGTTGGACAAAAAAAAAGAGGAAGGAAAAAAAAAGAAAAAAAAAAGAAGAAAAAGAAGAAGAAGAAAAAGAAGAAGAAGAAGAAGAAAAAGAAAAAAGAGGGACAAATGGTACGCTGTGACTGGGCTATGGCCAGAAGACCTGGATATGCTTATGACAAATTAAGCATATCACAAATCAAATTATCATTTCTCTTTTTTTTTTTTTTTTTTTTTTTTTTTAACAAAAAAAAAAAAAAAAAAAAAAAAAAAAAAAAAAAAAAAAAAAAAGTTCTAGGAAAAATATTAAACCC